ACGGCTTCTCAAATAGTTAAGCAGCTCCTAAACTTACATTTCGCATACTCAAAACAATATCTGAGCAGTTCTCAATTTTTAAGCACCTCTCAAATTAAGTTGCACTCAAACTCCACTTAAATGAATTTTCGCATACTGAAACGCCATTCAACGCTAAGCATTACTCAAACAACTGTCAAATTTTCTTAAGCANCTCTTCCGTTAAGACTTTAAATTTGAGACGTCAAAATTCTAAATTAACTTTGAAGAAAGAACTCTCAAGAACGAAGAACTTTCATCCTTTGTCGGCGGAGCTTATCGAAGAAGCTGAGAAGAGGCTGTTGTTAAAGAGTCAAATTGACAGCTTCCCTGATGAGTTAATACAACCTGGTCATCTTTCACCTCACTCGAGATTAAAGCATCTTGATATACGTCGTTCATCAGATAGTCTTCTCCGCCTCGTCGGGAGGATTCTCCGTGCTCAAGANATTTATCATTAGAAATCAACTACGGGGGCTAAGGAGATAAAATGAGGGTTGGAAGTTTATATTATGAAAGTCCTATGTGTTTAAAGTAAGAGAGTTGAAATTTAAAATGTATGCGCTGTAGATGCTAAGAGCGGATTTTACGAAACTCCACCCCTAATGGAGTAAAACGAGGTCCACGCGTACGAAGTCGCGGGCGGCCGCTAGTGTTAGATATAATTAGGCAGAGTGCCAGTTTGGGAAATATAGCATGTAGTTTTTTCGTAATTAAATAAAAATCCAGTTATATCGCCATGCACGGCAACTTTACATTCGTGTAAAGTGATGTAATGGAACATAAATCATTTTACACCACACTGAATTGACCACCCGCTAACAAGTGTAAAGTGATACATTTTACGCCATTTCTGTTGATATTTTTTTGTTTCTTTGATTTTAGAAAAAGTTGTAAAACAAACATTAGTAATTCGCTTCCACCTTCGGCCTGATCATCACTTACCATCAGGTGAGATACAGGCCAAGAGCTTCCTCGTTGTGGATAAAAAAAAAAAAAAAATTACACTATGAGGAATCATTATTTCAGGTTATTTAGGGTAAATCGTCCAAAAATTTCTACTTATATCAATATACACCAATTTTGTGATGAGAAAAAAAATGTGTAAACTGATCTAACTAACATAATAGCGATCTAAGTATCCTAATAATTATGTGTAAAGTGATATAAGTGGCGATTGTAAAGGAATAAGGCTAGAATTTTAGAGTGGATTCTAATTATTTACTCCTTAAATGTTTATTCTGATCTGAAACTACTATTTTATTAATTATTACACCATATACCATGAATGATATCGGCCTAAATCACATACATTATCTCCTATTTTAAAGTAAGTATTAGTTGAAGCAATTGGGTAATAAAGACCAGAAACAACAATGGTTTCACATCAACTAATTAGACAGGAGACAGAGAAAAGTTTGTTTTCTACAATTACCTTATTGGGAATCAAACTCTGGACCAGAGATGATGATGTCAAGCTATATTGATTGCTTTTTGGCTACAGAAGGATAATATAAAAGTAAAGTCATAAAATGCATTTGTTTTCAACAAAGAGGCTTTTAAAAAGCCCTTTAACACGTCCTAGTATCACTTGAACCCTACTTTTATTTTGGGACATAAATAGGTCAGTGCTGAGAAGAAGCAGCGCAAGATATTTAGCCACCCTTGTCAGCCTCTTCTTAAATCATAAATAACTTGAAAAAATCGAACTGCCTAAGACGGGAATCTTCTTAAATCAATAGAGACATGATTAACAAGACATGTTATACTTGCGAGCTAAGCAGATAAAGTCCAGCAACACATGCCATTTACATAATTATTTACTTTATACATAGTATCCATTCATAAGGACTTACGTAGTTAGTTTTGCAGGGCAATCGAATATTGCACTTAACCTTTTGATTAGACCATTGTGCGCTATTTGATCTTCCTATTCCAACCGCTCCAGATCCCCCCAGGTAGCAGCAGCCTATCTAGGTCTCTACAGGCCTTCTGCAGCGACCCTGGTGATTGGAGAATTTGAGCCTGTTGATCTGCTACGCTTCTGCACTCCTTGTGCACGTGCTGTGGTTTTTCTTCTGCCTCCATGCATCTTCTGCACATCAGGCTGTCTGTACAGCTATACTGTGTAGGTGTTTGTTTAACATACCTGTTATTACACTTAGGACCTTGCGGATGTTGTCCCTGTTAAGTCTTATGAGTCTTTAACTTTTTCGATATAATATCCACAACTGCATCTTTTGTTTGCCTACATCTTTCACAATCTTTCCATTCTGTGTGGTGTTATTTTTCTATTTTGGAGCGCAGCCAGGTCTTGATCTGTGCTTATGGTATCGGCATTATAATTGTTCCGGACCAAATACCGTCGTGTACGATCCCCTTCTGGCCAGTTCATCTGCTGCGTCGTTGCCCAAGGAGTTACTGTGTCCTTTGATCCACTTCAGGAGTGCAGGGTAACGCCATTTGCATCTGCAATGACTTAGGAGCGCGTCATGGCATTCCAATATAAGTATTATAATGTAGTATATTAAGTTGCTTTGTATTGCTTGCACTATCTGAGATTATTTTTATATTCAGACCTCGGATGTCTATGGTTGCAACCGCCTGTGCTGCTCTGATTGCAATCTGCTTGGAAAATTGTATTGTGTTTATCAAGTGTTGTTGATATTCTTAGTATATTTAGGTAATTCGAGAAGACACCAGCTCCCGTACCTTTTTGGGTTTTGGAGCCGTCAGTGTAATATCCTAACTTCATTGATTCCAGAGCAATCTTGCGTTTCCGCTGTAAGCTGGATATTATATCTTCAGTCGAAGAGTGAACACAGGGAATTCTGCCGATAGGTGCCTCGGTGAGAGGTATTTCTTTTATTAGGGTTTTGTGCAGGATCGTGGAATGTCCTGTCTCCTTGTTTTGCTTCTATATGCCGTTCTTACCTTTAAGTCTTAGAGCGGCTGCTTGCGCTTCCTCCTGAATGATGAGGTCTAAAGATCTGAGATTCAGAAGGTACTCAAGTGATGTCGATGGAGTGGTTCTCATACAACTAGTGGCCGCTATGCTTACTAGGCGTTGCAGGCTTTGGAGTTTTGATCTTGCTGTTGATAGTTGTGTTCTGTGCCACCACACAAGTGATCTATAATATTTTGTGTAAGAGGGCCATATAACCGACGTGTAGAGCCAGTGTTATCTTTGGGTTGAGACCTCATCTACTACCAATGAGTCTCTTGCACTGATGGAATGCTATACAGGCCATTTTTATTTTGTTCTCGACATGACTCGCCCAGTTCAATTTATTGTCTAAGGTGATGAGTTTTGTTTATAAAGAGTTCTGGTAGTTGGAGCTCTTGTAAATTCTATAATGCACTTATTAAGTACTTTTATTGACAACGTTAGGCACTATGAATTCAATTATATGTTTTACTAGTAGATGTTAACCATTATTTATTAAAACTATTAACTAAAGTTCTTTGATTTATAAACTACGCATTATGTTTTCCTTTAATCTGACAATTGGGCTAAGTTATATCATTTTACACCAAATAATTAACCAAATCATTAGTTGCGATTTTCAAATGTTTTTGATCTAAGTAACTGATAACATTTTACACATGTACGAAACTTTTGTGGTTAATGGTATTAGTCTAATTGAATCATTATACACAAAATAAATAATCATTTGTCTTTTACTTTTTGTGATATAAATTAAGTTACATTCTTTTTCACCAACCAACAATACATAGTTTTTTTTGTGTATATTAATATGAGTCATCTTATATTGTTAATCACAAATTCAATCTGAACAACTTCAATCGTGTAAAAAGTAGTAACACGAGTCGTACCTCTTGACACAATAAAAAATTGAAAGAAGCCTCCGGTACACTTTGTTAAAAGTAGACATGTATCAATATACACGAAAGAAAACTCAAAATTGGTTCACAAAGCCTTACTTGTATCATTTGGCACAAAATTATTTTCTTTTCTATACGTCGTAGAAACATACCGATTAGATACAAAAATAGCTAATTTTTCAGAGATTCACATTATGTTATAAAGTCAATTTTGATCTAAGTCGAGTTAGATCCCTTTTCACTGGGGGTACAGAATTTAACTTTGACAAACGTCAAAAATCTGTCAATCTCCATACATAACCACCGGTTATCGTTATAGTTACTGTCAAAGTAAGCTGATGGTGCAACCCAACCTAAGGCTGATTTACACGTAGTAGGTATTAATTAAATAACTTCGTTTTATGTGATCAAATTGCATTGTATCTATGTCCAAACGTCAAGCTCTTGTTTACTATCCTTTTGCCTCTTATGTTTTTTAATATTTTTTTTGTTTATATTTCTATGTTTGTAAAGCATGTAAAAACGAGGCAATAAAGCATTGTCTTATCTAATCTTACTATGAAACTGCTTGTAAAAAGTGACAAGCCCCGCCCACCAACTTACCCGAAAAATTTAGTTACCTACTTATAGGTACGTGTAAATCGGCCTTTAGTGTTGTGGAACTGTCGAATGCCACAGATAGTTTCGTTACTTTCTTTCATATTATTATTTTTCTATTGATACTTGACCTCATATACTTACTGCGTTTCAAAAATCGACTTTAAAAATTAAACTAACTCCAAAAAGTACACTTAAAAGCAGAAAAATAATTACATTATTTAATTAATTAGGACAATTATATGACTATCTTACTAATATTATAAATGCGAAAGTTTGTATGGATGTCTGGGTTTTTGTTACTTTTTCACGCAAAAAGTACTGAACGGATTTTTATGAAACTTTATTTACAGTATTAATATGACGAATTATGACGATCTGTGACAAACTAAATTTCACGCGGGTGAAGCCGCGGGCAAAAGCTAGTAATTGATATTCTCGGAGTCGGTGCCAGTCTGCCAAATGGCAAGCTCAAGAAACGTACTAAATTCCCACCTTAAGCAGTTCGACCTTTTCAAGTTATTTTAAAAATGTTTCAGGATGTCTCCCAAACCCAGAAGATCGACGAGGCCACGAAGGAAATGTCGCTGCAGACCTACAACGTACTCAAGACAGCCGATATGCTGAGCCAGGTCTGTTTGTTTTTAAAGACTGTAAACCCTTGAAAAGGAGGCTGACAATAGTGACCGAGTTTCTTGCGCTGCTTCTTCTCAGCACTGGCCCATTTATTGTCCCGAAGCAGTGGTAGGGTTAATATTGGGACGTGTAAAAGTGCTTTTTAAAAGCCTATTTGCAAAAATAAATGAGCTTTATGAGTTTTTATGAGTTTTTTTCAAAAAATAAACAGTACAATTTTGACCTAAATATTTGTAACCGCCTCTGTAATTCCTACAGCATTAAAAAGTCATAAAACTTATTTTTGCAAGTAGGCTTTTAAAAAGCACATTTACACGCCCAGTATTAACCATACAACTGCTTCGGGACAATAAATGGTCCAGTGCTGAAAAGAAGCAGCGCAAGAAACTTAGTCACTATTGTCTATTTATTTATTTTTTGGGAAACATACAGTTACAATATAATTGAACTTTGTCATTAATGAGGGCTATCGTTTTTATACTTAACAGTTGGCACCCCTGGCGATCGACAGGACCTTACTCTACAGTGGCGCCATCTTGATGAGTGCAATTGCGATAGTCCTCCTACCACTTTAGCGCTCACCAGTTGGTGCCACTGTCTTCGCTACTAGCAAGTGACAGAACCTTACTCTACAGTGGCGCTAACTGGTGAGCGCTAAAACGATAGCCCTCATGTCAGCCTCTTTCTCAAAAGGATTTGAATATACATAGTTATAAATATTTACAAAGATTATTGATTTGATTCATCATCAGGAACCAAACAACATTGCACGGAGAAGGAAACTACTGGACGCGTGCAGACAATTGAATGACGCTATCAATCAGTTGGTGAGTCGATAATCTTTACACATGCAACTTACAATTTGTTTTTTCTACTCCTGCCCCCCTAGACAAAACGCACTTTTTGATCGAATCGAAAATCGAATCCGTCAAAACTCCATACAAAAAAGGGGCTTTTCGACCACTTTGCGACTGGTTTGCGATTATAATTTGCACTTTGTCTAGACCCACTGTATTTGTTTCACTCTTTTAAACTTTTTTTTTTAAGATTATTAGCAATTTGTATTGCACAAATTACTAATAGTCCCGTTAGACCCTCGTGGTAAGCTAAATAAGCTTGTGTTAAGAGTGGGCTCACCACATTAGTCAAGCGGAGGTGGGATTCGAACTCGCGTTCGTCGGATCGCGAGGCGACCACTCCGACCCCTTCACCGTTCGGCTATCGTGGTTGTGTCATGTGTTTTGAAAATGAATTTTCTCTTTTTTTATAATAAACTAGCTGACCCGGCGAACTTCGTACCGCCTTAGCGTAGAGATTTTCTTAATATTTTTTTCCGTAAGAACCATCCTTGGACTTCCACAAACATTAAAAAAAAAGAATTATCGAAATCGGTTCAGCCGTTCACACGTGATGCCGTGACAACGCGAAACGGGTTTCATTTTTATATATACAGGGTGTCCCGTAATGTAACGTCAAGCCGGAACTGGGTGTTGAGGCAAGTTGTGCTGGTTATCAGAAAAATATTAAAAAAAATCTATGTGGCATATTTTAAAAATAATAGGCATTTAAAAAAAATCAAAAAATTCTACTCCAGGTGACGGTCCTTTTGCTCGTGTTGCCACAAATCTTCACTTTTACCAAATTTTTTTTTTGTTACGTAACCCTGAATAATGCTTCTCTAAATTGTTATCAAAATTACAAAACCAGCTGCTCCAGCTTGGATGAAAAAAATACATTATTCTCAAAAAAAATTTCAAAATAAAAATTTTGCCTAGTTTAAACTGACTGTACTGAAAAAAAAAATGTACTACGCGAGTGTGGCAAGTGACGTCATAATTTGGCGCATTTAGTAAGGATTCCAAAATGGTATAACACTTGGTAAATTTTTGCTGTAATTGTCGACAATTTTTGGTTTTTTGGAAATAGTCCCGTTTTTAACTTTATTTACCTTGGTTAAAAATTATTATTCTAATGTGCCCAAAATTCAAGTTTCTGTGACTGACTACCGTACAGTCAGTCACAGAAACTTTTGTCACCATGACAGTAATTAGTAGTTGACATACTGTGACAAAAGTCACTCGTGCGCGCGCGCCTTTACTACCTGCTCTGCCTGCACTTGTACTTGGTAACAGGGATAATAAGGATATGAAGTTTCGGTTATGGATACGGTTACGGATATTAGAATAATATTATACCGGTTTCGGTTACGGTCACGGATATGAAATCATTTCAGATTATCCGAAAGTCTCGGATAATTTCGGTTACGGAATTATTAGAATTTCAAAAATGTAGGTATAATACAAATAGCAAGATGCTGCGTGAGCGTGACCCACATAGCTACTTTATGTACCAACTAAGACGACACCTATGTATGATAAAGGTAAAACAGGCTGGCATATTAGATGGTGCCAGCGAATGCCAGACAAGTTGGTAACAAATATTAAGATTTAAGGTACAATTCCAAGACGGGCCGCAGACCGCAAACTGCAACCGCAAACTGCAAAACTATGAAATCGGCAGCGCGACATTGCAGCTGCGGCGTGTATACTGCAAATTTCATGGAGTTTTGCAGTTTGGCCTTTATCCGAAACTATCCGTAACTTTTGAATCAGTTTCGGTTACGGTTACGGATATCCATAACATCCCTGCTTGGTAAGATGGCCCTCTCCGTCCCGCTCATACCTTTTAAAATGGCTTCTCCACCTCACTTAAGCCAGAAACTTAAATTTTGGGCACATTAGAATAATATTTTTAACCAAGGTAGATAAGGTTAAAAACGGGATTATTTCCAAAAAACCAAAAATTGTCGACAATTACAGCAAAAATTTACCAAGTGTTATACCATTTTGAAATCCTTACTAAATGCGCCAAATTATGACGTCATTTGCCACACTCGCGTAGTACATTTTTTTTTCAGTACAGTCAGTTTAAACTAGGCAAAATTTTTATTTTGAAATTTTTTTTGAGAATAATGTATTTTTTTCATCCAAGCTGGAGCAGCTGGTTTTGTAATTTTGATAACAATTTAGAGAAGCATTATTCAGGGTTACGTAACAAAAAAAAAATTTGGTAAAAGTGAAGATTTGTGGCAACACGAGCAAAAGGACCGTCACCTGGAGTAGAATTTTTTGATTTTTTTTAAATGCCTATTATTTTTAAAATATGCCACATAGATTTTTTTTTATATTTTTCTGATAACCAGCACAACTTGCCTCAACACCCAGTTCCGGCTTGACGTTACATTACGGGACACCCTGTATAGACTAGCGGCCGCCCGCGACTTCGTACGCGTGGATCCCGTTTTACCCCCTTCATCTATCTTACGCGGTTTAGATTTTTTCATACAAATGTTTTTTCCCGCTAACTCCCATTCCCGTGGGAATTTTGCAATTATCCTGTTGTAACTAAGCTTTAAGTTTACTAAGGTACCTGCATGCCAAATTTCAAGCGTCTAACTTAAGCGGTTTAGAATTTTCATACAATAGGATTTTCCCACTAATTCCCGTTACCGTGGGAATTTCGGGAATTCCTTTCTTAGTGCACCTCTACGGTACCTAAGCTACGTCTCTTCCAAATTTCAAGTGCCTACATTTAGCCGTTTAGGCTGTGCGTTGATATGTAGTTGAGTCAGTCAGTTTCTCCTTTTATACATATATTTTAGATAAAAAATTGTCCTTAACAATAGCGTCTTATCCAATCCAGGTCAAAACAACGACTCAGTCCAGCAGACTGCATCGCGAGTGTGGCGCTTTAACAAGGAGTCTACAGCTGCAACAAGCCTTGCTTGCTGCGCCGCTTCCAGCCGCTGCACTGCGCTACGGAGACGCGATGGCCGCGCTGCAGAACCAGCGTGACGTCATCCGTGAGTATTACGTCACACACGACTGTGGCATGACGTCAGGTAGTGTGGCGCGTTGACAAGAGGCTTGCAGCTGCTACAAGCACTGTGTTGGCGACAGACCTTTTTTATATGCGTTTTTTGTATTTTTTCTTTTGGAATGTTTTTTATATTTTGACGCTTTGTTTTTTTACTTTTTTACTTCAGTTGTTCATTAAACACCATTAGTCAAAGACGTGTTTCAATATAGTAAAAAGTGAACATCTCCAAATCAATTAAATATATTATATAGGTATAGTAACGGGCACACCCGGTGCCCAACAAATGGTCCTTCGAGCCGGATTTGAACCAGCGACCTATAACATAAACCATGTCGTGTTACCTTTTGGTCCGATTCCATGACAGTGCTTAGATGGTTGCGAAGTGACGCCCGCACTTTTAAACCCTTTGTGGCGCATAGGGTTGGCGAGATTACGGAAATTTCAGACGTTTCTAATTGGCGGTACGTGCCCTCCTCCGATAATGTTGCGGATGACGCCACGCGCCCTAGCACTTCTAAATTCGACACGTCCGCTCGCTGGTTCACCGGACCTTCGTTTCTCTTAGAACCATCATGTCATTGGCCTTGTGAACCGTCGAGTGAGGTCCCATTATCTCGTGATGACGAAGTCAAACGTTCCGCTACATCAGAAATAGTGGGACAAATCAATGTTCAACCGCATGAACTACCTTCACCGGTCGTTGCGGACCATTCAAGGTTTTCTGAATGGTTGCGTTTAGTTCGTAGTACGGCCCGCGTTCAACAATTTATTAATTTAGTTCGGTTGCGTTTAAATTTGAGACGTCAAAATTCTAAATTAACTTTGAAGAAAGAACTCTCAAGAACGAAGAACTTTCATCCTTTGTCGGCGGAGCTTATCGAAGAAGCTGAGAAGAGGCTGTTGTTAAAGAGTCAAATTGACAGCTTCTAGCAATAAAATCGTATGGAAGTTTATACCACCAATAACTCCATCGATGGGAGGAGCGTGGGAACGGCTGGTGAGGTCCGTCAAGACTGCGCTATCGGTAACCCTAAAAGAACGATCACCCCGCGAGGAGACGCTGCACACGCTTTTACTGGAAGCAGAAGCGTTGGTCAATTCGCGTCCACTTACTCATGTTCCCGTGGCGCCGCACGAAGATCAGGCCCTAACACCATTCCATTTCCTTATTGGAACAGCCACGAATGAACCAGTCCTGCGTCCTGTTTCAGACACAGACCTTTGGGGACGCACCCAGTGGAAGAAAGGGTTAAGGTTAGCTGACCATTTCTGGAAGCGATGGGTTGATGAGTACCTTCCAACACTCGTACCAAGGCGCAGCATACCCCCGCAGCCAAAGGTTCAGCTGAAAGTTGGCGACCTTGTCCTAATTGGTGATGGAGCTCTTCCTAGAGGAACCTGGCCCCGAGGCAGAGTGACCGCCGTGTGGCCTGGATCAAGGGGAGTCGTCAGATGCGCTGACGTTGCCACGAAAGGAGGCACATTACGTCGCCCCGTCAGGAAGCTGGTGCTGCTGCCGACTGTCGCCTGACTGCTTTATGGTTGCTTCACACCGCGGGGCGCCATGTTGGCGACAGACCTTTTTTATATGCGTTTTTTGTATTTTTTCTTTTGGAATGTTTTTTATATTTTGACGCTTTGTTTTTTTACTTTTTTACTTCAGTTGTTCATTAAACACCATTAGTCAAAGACGTGTTTCAATATAGTAAAAAGTGAACATCTCCAAATCAATTAAATATATTATATAGGTATAGTAACGGGCACACCCGGTGCCCAACACACTGTTTGCCGCTGCGCTGCGCTACGGAGACGCGATGGCCGCGCTGCAGAACCAGCGTGACGTCATCCGTGAGTATTACGTCACACGACTGTTGAATGACGTCAGGTAGTGTGGCGTGTTGACAAGAGGCTTGCAGCTGCTACAAGCACTGTTTGCCGCTGCGCTGCGCTACGGAGACGCGATGGCCGCGCTGCAGAACCAGCGTGACGTCATCCGTGAGTATTACGTCACACACGACTGCAGAATGACGTCGATATTCCCGTTTCAATCTAATGTGGATTTCCACACGACCAAATCCTCCATTTGTAGAGGGTTGTGTTCCTACAGTGAAGACAAAAGGCGCCTTCAAATCAGAGGCGTGAGGAAGCGCTGCAGTGACGTCACTGTGTCACAAATTTTTGATTCAATTTCTAGAAGCGAAGCGCCACTAAAGCCTGGTCTGCGAGCACGTAGAATTTTGTCCAATGACCCCAAGCTACCCATCCTTATCGCTCGCGCGTAATTATGTTGCTGTCGCGCTCGCACACTCACTGCGGGCGCGCGTCGCACAGTCGCGACAGCAACATAATTACGCGCGAGCGATAAGGATGGGTAGCATGGGGTCATTGGACAAAATTCTACGTGCTCCCGGACCAGACTATACCACACGTCACAGTGGCGCCACTACAGCACTCCTCCAATTTGTATGTGCCCTAAATGACTGTTATTGATTAATTTTATTTTTGAATGTACCCGCAGAGAAGCTGAGCAACGACGAGGCGATGTCGCGCGAGGAGTTCGCTCGTACTCTGAGCTACGTGAGCTCGGCCGTGTGCAACTCCACCGAGTACGCAGCGCAGTGCGCTTACTTGGTGAGTCCCACACAAAATACTACTGCATGTGATATTATTTGATGCATTTATTCTGTATTTTTTAAATTAAAACCATGCTTTCTCTCATCAAAGACAGTTCTTCAGATATTATTATTCCGATAATTTAATATTTTTTCTTTCAAAATGCATGCAACCATCCGCAATTTGCGGTCTAGCGGTCAATCAATTACCACTGCAGCATTGCAGCAAGTCCACCCACAAAGTGGACCGACGGTCTCATAAAGGTAACAGGAAGGCGCTGGATGTAGGCCGTTACCAACGAGCCACTGTGGAAACCATTGGAAGAGGTCTATGTTCAGCAGTGGACCTGTGTCTTATGACTTAAATGATGATAATGATGATTAGTATGCACAGCTCAAGCTAAGCTCATTTAAGAGTGATATGTATAGCACTGTGTATTATTCACAATTTTTTATTTCTCCATTTATTTGTTCTAGCTGGCCATCGCAGACCAAAACAAGGACGTCGCCACGGATGGGTTCATAGATGCGTCCAGGATCCGTAGCCTGTCCGAGGCCGTTCAGGACACGTGCCATCGGATGATCCGCACCGATGTGGAACAGGTATCGTGTGCAGTCAGAGACCTTTTTGTTGCGTTCATCATAATCTTTTTCAGGAGCACGACCTCTAATTTACTTGGCTGAGTTTTTGAAAATGCATGATTTGACATTATACAACGCTGACAAGACTGATAAATTGACAAGTACCGCAGGACGATGTCTGCAATAATAGAAACAATTTGTAAATACCTATCTGTTCATGATTATTTGGTTGTTTTGTTATTGTGATTTTGTGACACTGAAGTTAATTTTTTTTAAAGATTATTAGCAATTTGTGTTGCCCAAATTACTAATAGTCCCATTAGCCCCTCGTGTTAAGCTAAATAAGCTTGTGTTTTGAGTGGGCTTACCACAATAGTCGAGTGGCGGTGAGATTCGAACCCGCCTTCCTCGGATCTCGAGTCGGCCACTCCGACCCCTTCACCGTTCGGCTATCGTGGCTATAATTATCAAAATCATTATACATAGGTTTGTGACACTAACATCATCACTTAAATCCCCAGGCCAAAGCAGAAGAATTAGTCCTCAGCAAGCAGACACAAGACTTGCAGCAGGCAGTATCCGAGGCCAAGGACCGAAGCAGGGAAGGCCCGCTAAAGGACCGCCTGGCCCACGCTGGGGCTTCCATCGACTCCGCCGCCAAAGCGTTACATGCGGCGGTCAATCAGAAGACTCCTGACAAGGTAAGTTGTATTAAGACAAAGGAACGCACCAAGAAAGCCCCGCTCAAGTGCTGCCGGGGCTTCCATCGACTCCGCCGCCAAAGGGTTACATGCGGTAGCCAATGGTAGACGCCTGATGGGGTAAGTTGTACTAAGACAAAGGAACGCACCACGAAAGACCCGCTAAAGGACCGCCTGGCCCACGCCGGGGCTTCCATCGATTCTGCTACTAAGGCGTTACATGCGGTGGTCAATGAGAAGACTCCTGAAAGGGTAAGTTGTATTAAGACAAAGAACGCACCACGAAAGACCCGCTCAAGGACCGCCGGGGCTTCCATCGACTCTGCTGCTAAGGCGTTACATGCGGTGGTCAATCAGAAGACTCCTGACAGGGTAAGTTGCATTAAGACAAAGGAACGCACCACGAAAGACCCGCTCAAGGACCGCCGGGGCTTCCATCGATTCTGCTACTAAGGCGTTACATGCGGCGGTCAATGAGAAGACTCCTGAAAGGGTAAGTTGTATTAAGACAAAGAACGCACCACGAAAGACCCGCTCAAGGACCGCCGGGGCTTCCATCGATTCTGCTGCTAAAGCTTTACATGCGGTGGTCAGTGAGAAGACTCCTGACTGGGTAAGTTGTATTTAGATAAAGGAAAGCACCAGGGAAGCCCCGCTTAAGACCCGCCGGGTTTCCATCGACTCTGCCGCCAAGGCGTTACACGCGGTGGTCAATGAGAAGACGCCTGACAGGGTAAGTTGTACTAAGACAAAGGAACGCACCACGAAAGCCCCACCTGTAGGCCTAAGATGCGCGCCGTGATGACTTTTATTCGACGTCAAAATGTATGGATAAAATCGATAAAATGGCGTGATAACCGCTTATCGCGGCGCTCATCTTAGGCCTATTGGGATAGTGGAATTTCTATCGACTGTGCTACCAAATCTTTGCATTAAACCTAAAACTTATTAAAACTCATTTATTTCTGTAAATAGGCTTAAAAAAAGCACTTTTACACGTCCCAGTATTAACCCTACCACTGCTTCAGGACAATAAATGGGCCAGTGCTGAGAAGAAGCTTGCTTTGGTCAATCAAGACATCTGAGTGTCTTCTCATTTTCACCTCTCGCAACTGCAACACTAGCCAGGGTCCAAGGATCCAACAAGTAAAAGCCAAGGACAAATTCCCGGCAGAAAGTTAAACTATCATTGAACCCGCATTGAAACTAACCAGATGAATATAGGCAGTCCAATCTAAAGGATCTAGTTTCATTTCGTTTTTTCGTTAAAGGAATTTTCAAGACTCTATCATACTATCTTTTCCTTTGTTTGTTTCCTGCTTTGTACTAGATGAAACTAGATCCTTTAGATTGGACTGTTATACTCTTCTAGTTCATTTCATTGCGGGTTCAATGACAGTTTAACTTTCTGTCGGGACAATTGGCCTTCACTTGTTGAATCCTTGGATCCTGGCTAGTGTTGTAGTTACGAGAGTTTTTGCCAGAGTAATTGCCATGTTCGATTAAAATACGGCTATTTATGCTAACTTCTTGTCGTTTCTTCCAGGCCAAGCTGACCTCGTACACCATACGGCTATTGGACTGTGTGAAGGCAGTGGACGGCGCGGTGGAAAGCGCCTCGTTGGCGCCCGAGGTCAAAAACATCTCGGCTGACGCTAAGGCACGCAGCGACGAAGTGCTGAAGAATACCAGGCAAGTGTTATTTACTAAAACTGACACTATTTTTGAAATATCAGGCGGTGGATGCAAGCCGCTATCAACCGGGCAATGTGGAAGTCATTGGAGGAGGCCCAATGACTTCCACATTGTTCAGCAGTGGACGTCCTGTGGCTGAAATTATGATGATGATGATGAAACCATTTTGGATACTTTAGACCTGGAAATGTGGTAAGATGGTATTAGATAAGATAGGATAAGACTTCGATCGGTATCAATCAAGATGCAGGTACTTCTAATGAGGGAGAAAAAGGAGTCAAAAATCTCCGTGGATTGAAAGTGTTACCATGGCGCCAGCCAGCTCATGACTACCTAAAATGTCATTAGTAATAAATTTAATTATCTACAGCATTGACATACGTACAGGGTTTGGAATTTCCTTAAGCATAAACTATAGTCTGGTCCGTGAGCACGTAGAATTTTGTCCAATGACCCCAAGCTACCCATCCTTATCACTCGCGCGTAATTATGTTGCTGTCGCGCTCGCACACTCACTGCGGGCGGCCGTCGCACAGTCGCGACAGCAATATAATTACGCACGAGCGATAAGGATGGGTAGCTTGGGGTCATTGGACAAAATTCTACGTGCTCACGGACCGAGATTTAGTTTGTGTTAAGAAACACCGTAGATAGTGATAGTTCCATATAAAAACCTGTATTTCAGCACCAAAGCAACGCTCTTTCGGATCAAACAGAGTATGTATTTATCACATGGTGTACAATTTTAAACTTTAGGTAGGTATACTAAAACCGTAGTTGGACCAATCCTGTTTGTCACATCAATTCGCTTCTCTCTTCACATTATCAGAGTAAATACAAATGAGTAGGTCATCTTCATAGAAACGCCCGAGCGCGATTTGTATGTGAGCGCGCCAATACGTATGCGGCGCGCACGCACACACTGACAAAGTTTAGCGGGGATTAGTGTGTGCGTGCGCGCCGCATACGTGTTGGCGCGCTCACATACAAACCGCGCTCGGTGCGTTTCTATGAAGATGACCTTCTCATTTGTATTTACTCTGACATTATCTTATGTGTATATTTCCCCTTAGGACCCTGAACAACAACATGGTGTCGCTGGTCCGCGAAGTGAGGGCCGGCGAGGACGATGACCCCATGACGTGGGTGACCTTCGGCACCAGCAGGAAAGCTGTCCTGGACGCGTTTGAAGCTCTCTTCAACAGCGTCAAGTAAGTGGTAACATCACTAGTGGTACAGGACTATTCCCACCTCTCGTTCCCACCACTGCAACTCCTGTGTAGCCAGGATCTACAGCTTGACCGCCACAAAAACCCAACCAATGAAGGTCAAGTTTGTCCCGGGGAAAAGTTAAACTGTCACACTACATCAACACATACATACATACAACATCACTAGTGGTAGTGTAACAAATGACAATATGAGGGTAGTTGAAAATCTTCAAGTCCGCCCGAACAGACGACGCCGCGAGCCGCCAGTCTGCTTGTGACCACGGCTGCAGCATCGCAGCCGAAACGTCAAGCCGTGAGTACATAATGTAACTCATTAATAAACGTCGCGTTAAGACCCGTGTCTTACTACACTCGCGAGCAAAAATATGGAATCACCCTATTTGTTTCGAGCGATCACAAAAACTAAATGACTAATAGAAGACAAATAAAAATGATACCATTTTAAAGGTAATATTATAAACTTTAAATTGATACCACAGATACCTGCATAGTCATTCAGTTCTTAAGATCGCTCGGAATAAAACACAAGGTGGTAATTCCATATTTTTGCTCGTAAATATATTTTAGCGTCAAGTAAGGCTGAAGAAGAATATTCTAATGCCCGTTTTCACCATCAATCCCTATTTTTTAAGTGACCTCTATTGTAACACATAACAGGAATTTTGTTTTCATAGGGGTCACTTAAAAATAAGCTTCAGTTGCACCACCTGACTTTAACCGTAAGGGCTATATTTCACCGGGACACCATGGCGGCGCAACCAGTCGCCGCTACCAACAAAATGTATACAGCTTTGCGCAACCAAACGGACACCAGGTGAGTAACTCTCAGAGCTGTATACATTTTATTGGTAGCCGGCGACTGGTTGCGCCGCTATGGTGTCCCGGTGAAATATAGCCCTTACTAATTGGTGTTTTTGTATGGAGTTTGACAGACTTTTGACGTTTTTTATAACTAAAGTAAGAACAGAGGGTAAGGTGACGTAGGCACAGTCATTGCCATTATCGGCCGTATTCAGAAACGATGCTTGCTTATGTGAAGCAGCAAATTGAACGCACAGCGTTGAATAGAGCTCTGTGATTGGTTAGTGTGTCACAACAACAATTTGGTTACAACGAAACATTGACGTATCCATCAAAGCACGGAGTCATATTTCTTTGAGGACAGTTACTTTTAGTTATTATTCAATCTTATGGTATTTTAACTTAATTGATAACTATTACAAAATTGTTTTATTTGAGTGTATAGAAAACATTGGGAAAATTTACCTCCGTTTCTTAAACATACATTAAAGTTTCTTACTTTACAGGGAAAATGGCAAACGCGCTGGTGTCTTGGAATCGTCGCAATCTGATGATGAGGTAAATATTCGTTCGTTTTCTGTCTTCTATTTTTAGATATTAAGTTTCTGAAGTCAGTACTTTTACTTCAGCAAACAGTAACCAATGTCTCACACAAATTGTTACGAACCAGAAAAAAATATTATTTTACAAACTTTCAATATATTTTTCAGGAGGCCGACCAGCCAAAGAAGAGTTATGTGCAAATACAGTACGTATAACATTTTGATCTATCCCCCTTATTAATATAAAGTTACACCCGGGATGAACATTGGATTAAAATGATATTTCCATACTAAATAACAATTTAAATCAGAGTTCAACTAGGGTGTAACCTTTATTAATAAGGGGGTATAAGTTTAAGTGGTCACCAGATCCATCAACAACTGTTTTAAGATGCGTTGATCTGGTGATTGCCACCTGCTACGTAGCAACAGTAAAAAATGTAACAGAGAAACATTGCATTATTACAACTTGCTTTTAGATTGGACCTAGCAAACAAGTGGCTGGCGAGACCAACTGTGAAGCCAGACGTCAAGACTGCGGGCGAGGAGGCCTCCAGTAACATCATCAAGATTGGAGAACAGGTATGTGATGCAAAATATCTAAACGTAAAGATATCGGCTCAGAAAAAAAGACGGCTTTCAAATTCAACTATTAGGACCTCGTTCACGTGTAAAGTGTCAGATGACAAAATTTCAATTATTTGTCCGTTAGACAAATAATTAGAAAATATTAGACTCATATTTTTTATTTTCTTTCATAATTGAATAATAACAGACTTACATCGAGTTGAAATGGCGGGTTACGTCACACTTGAGTGGATTTTTTACTCAAAAGTGACGTCACGCGACATTTCAACTCAATATAATACTGTAATTATTCGATTACTAGCTTTCCGCCCGCGGCTTTGCCCACGTGGAATTTTGTCTGTCACAGAAAAACTATCGCGCGCGTCCCTGTTTCAAAAACCGGGATAAAAACTATGCTATGTCCTTTCCCGGGACACAGACTATCTCTATGCCAAAGAAGAACGGTCATCTGTGACCCAGGCCCGACAGAAACGAGACATATCTCAGCTTTTTTGTCATGTCTTAATTAGTTAAATTATATATTTTTTATATTCGAAATCTATGTATAACACCAAAATATTACCCTTTGTTTTTGTTCAGGCGTTATACAAAAACTAATACAAAATGCCTATTTATCACCAAAATTGGTAAATGTATGTACCTAAATGTCTATTACAGCTGCTATGGGATGTATCTAGGTGACCTGGAGATACAGCCGGATTATACAGGGTGGAAACGAGAAGTTACAAAATCCAAAAATTCAATGTTACCAGCTTCCATAATCTGTAACCTATTATTGGTACCATTTGAAAGAGCTCGTGAAGCACTTTCAGAATCAGTAATTAGTTTTGGAATTTTATTCATTGACTACCTACTTAAAAAAAACTACAATAAACGGGAATTATTTTACTGTACTGTTAATAAGAGTGCGTCAAGTGGTTGTCGAAATAATAAGAGGTAAACTGGCGAAATGAAATCTGTTATTGCCAGACAATTCGCCCGTGCACACCGCGCATGTTGCAAGGCTTGCCCCGGGTAAAACTAGATTTCAAGAAATTAATCACCTACCACACAGTTTAGTCCAAATCCTTAGCTTTTTTTTCTAATTCTCAATTTGGAAAAAGGACCTCCAGGAACGAAGATTTTTGAGTGACAAAGAAATGAAGGCGTCGTTAGAGGATCATTTCGAAGGCAAAGTTTGCGAATTTTTTTTCAGTGGGTTAAAAGCTCTTTTACACAAATGTAAGCAGTGCGCTGTAGTAGAGGGAGATTAAATAGAAAAATATATTTTTTATACTTTTCTATCGGCATTTTTAATACCTTAGGCTCAAAACTTTTCAGCCGCCCCTCGTACATTCCATAGCAGCTATAATAGACATTTAGGTACATACATTTACCAATTTTGGTGATAAATAGGCATTTTGTATTAGTTTTTGTATAACGCCTGAACAAAAACAAAGGGTAATATTTTTGTGTTATACATAGATTTCGAATATAAAAAATATATAATTTAACTAATTAAGACATGACAAAAAAACTGAGGTATGCCTCGTTTCTGTCGGGACTGGGTTTTTTTTGTATGGGGCGTGACCGTTCTTCTTTCATCAAAATCGGTTCAGTGGCTTAGGCGTGAAAGAGAGACAGACCGACAGGACAGACAAGAGTTATTTTTGCATTAAAAAATATATATTTATATTAAAAAACTAAAGCGGAGAAGAGAAATGGAAATAATGAAATCTGATTGGTTATTCAAAACACTTCTACTCCGCTCCGGTTTGGTGGAATCCGGGCCTTAGCTGTAATTAGAAAAATATATGGCACGTCATTTAAAAACTTAGGTTAAAGAAGACAATAAGAAAATAAATAAAGAAATAAAGATCTTAAAATATTTTATAAAATGTTACAGTTGGCGGAAGACCTCAAGGATAACGAGAGGGAAGAAATGTTACAACTCACGCAAGACAGCAAGGCGCTGCTCACCGACTGCGCGAAGAAATACGACAATCAAAAGGCGCGGTATGTATTAACAGAGTAAATACAAATGAGTAGGTCATCTTCATAGAAACGCACGGAGCGCGGTTTTTATGTGAGCGCGCCAACACGTATGCGGCGCGCACGCACACACTGCAACCCCCCGCTAATCCCCGCTAAATTTTGTCAGTGTGTGCGTGCGCGCCGCATACGTATTGGCGCGCTCACATACAAACCGCGCCCGATCTGAAGCATGTCTGAAGTCTCGCTAACGTGTGACGTCTCAAAAACACTCCTGACGTGCCGCTTCCATGCCTCAGGCACTGACTGACTGAGCACTAAATTTGTGGCGACATCTACGATACGCCACTACAAACGTGTACCAACAGATGGCGCTGTTACGACTGCACTATGGCACACTCCGCCGCTCATACAAACCTGCATCGCGGTGACGGAGTTTTCTACCCTGCCAAGTACATATAGACAAACCAAGATGGTGTAAATCGGACCTTGGTCCCCGAGCACAACACCCGCTCGGAAGGAAGCACTAATATCTAGCTTCCTTATTGTGGATGAACATCATATCCCACAAATCTATAGTACTATTTAGTAGCTTACACGAGAAACATTTAAAATCTCAGTCTTATATTTATGCACATTTCTGCAAAGGTCCTATTCATATGATCATAGAATTTGATAAAGATATTGACTACTAGCTTTTTGTTTCAAAAATCGGGATAAAAACTATCCTATGTCCTTTTCCGGGACTCAAACTACCTCTATGCTAAATTTCATCAAGATCGGTTCAGTGGTTTAGGCGTGAAAGCGAGACAGACAGAGAGTTACTTTCGCATTTATAATATTAGTATAGATTGGTGAGTTCTTTTGCTAAGAGTACTACCCGAATTAACGTAAGTACACCCTAAATACTACCTATAACTACTTTTATTTCCATTTCTACCCTCCAGTGCGTTGATGGAGCGTCTCAAGGAGCTGAAGAAGAGCATCGAGCGTGGGGTGGTCACGAGAATTGTTGAAGACTTTCTGGAGGGTCACGAGCCTCTTGCGGATTTGGACATCCTCGCCGAAATCGAGAAAGGTATCGTTCGTTCGTTCGTTTCAGCCAAATGACGTCCACTGCTGGACAAAGGCCTCCTCCAAGGTTTTCCACAATGCAAGGTCCTGCGCTGCCCGCATCCAGGCTCTTCCCGCGACCTTTACGAGATCGTCGGTCCACCTAATAGGAGGCCTGCCCACGCTACGTCTTCCAGCCCGAGGTCGCCACTCGAGAACTTTTCGATACTCGAGAAAGGTATGCCTTGACTCAATAGTGACTCAGTTTCTTGCGCTGCTTCTTCTCAGCACTGACCCATTTTTTGTTCCGAAGCAGTGGTAGGGTTCATACTGGGACGTGTGAAAGTGTTTTTAAAAGCCTACTTACACAAATGAAATGAGTATTATGAGTTTAACTACACAATATTAAGGCGAGACTGTTGGGGTTGAATTACTATGGTGAATCTATTTATTAGCATATTTAGCTTAGCTCGAGGAATTACTTAGTAATTATTCTATTAAAAACACCATTAGGTTATTTAAGTCGCTGATATAGCCCGACGAATTAGTAGGCTAAAGTGGTGTCCTGTGAAGGTGTAGCTATCTACAGTACATACGTTTGACGTGACAATTTGAATTAACCCATTTCTACAAGAATATGAGCTTAGCAGGAGTGTTTTGTGTACCGCAACTTAAATCGCACTGAAATCATTTCAATAGTATTCTTTTCTTTAGACTGAACTGATTCAATGAGGGCTATCGTTTTCATACTTAACAGTTGGCACCCCTGGCGATTGACAGGACCTTACTCTACAGTGGCGCCATCTTGATGAGTGCAAATGCGATAGTCCTCCTACCACTTGTCTTTAGCGCTCACCAGTCGGCGCTACTGTCTTCGCTACTAGCAAGTGACAGGACCTTACTCTACAGTGGCGCTAACTGGTGAGCGCTAAAACGATAGCCCTCATTCCAACTTTCTTCCAGATGAAACCAAGCGCAAGTTCCTCCTGGAGCGCAAGATAGCCGAACTACTGGCACACCTGGCTCGCGTCTCCAAGACCGCTCGCATCGCGGCCGGCGCCGGCAGCGGCGGCCCGCAGCGGGCTGAGGACCTGATCCAGTGCAGCGACCAGGTCAGACACTAATAGGGTCCACCAGGAGAGAAAGATAGCAGAGCTCCTGCACTCCAGGATTCAGTAGTGGAGGATAGTAATAGCTCCCGTGTCAAATAATGGCGCCGAGGACCTGCTCCTACGGACCAGGTCAGTTACTAAAGCCCGGTCCGTGAGCACGTAGAATTTTGTCCAATGACCCCGAGCTACCCATCCTTATCGCTCGCGCGTAATTATGTTGCTATCGCGCTCGCACACTCACTGCGAGTGCTAGTCGCACAGTCGCGACAGCAATATAATTACGCGCGAGCGATAAGGATGGGTAGCTAGGGGTCATTGGACAAAATTCTACGTGCTCACGGACCAGACTTTAGTAAGGTAGTAGCGCAGGAGACTGAGCTCCTGCGTCCAACGTCCAAGATCCTGGAGCGCAGGAGAAAAGAGCTACCGCGGCAGGACGGCGCCGAGGATCTGCTCCAATGGACCAGGTCAGTTACTAGCAAGGTCCTTCTGCAGCGCAACAGCAGAGCTCAGTAGCGAGCCGAGGACCATATCCAGTGCAGTGTATCCCACCACACTGACCGACTGCAACTCCTGTGTAGCCAGGATCTGCAGCTTGGCTTTCAATGAAACCCAACCAGGTGAAGTTTTAGCGACCAGGTCAGACACTAGCAGGGTCCTCTTATAGCGTAAGATAGCAGAACTACTAGCGCACCTGACGTGCGAATCAAAGAACGAGCGCATCGCGGCCGGCGCCGGCCCGCAGCGGGCCGAGGACCTGATCCAATGCAGCGATCAGGTCAGATCGTCATCATCATCATTTCAGCCACAGGACGTCCACTGCTGAACATACTCGTAGGCCTCCCCCAATGCTTTCCATGCTGACCGGTTGGTAGCGGCCTGCATGCAGTGCCTTTTTGCTACCTTTGTATCGGTCCACCTCGTGGGTAGACGTCTCACGCTGCGGTTTCTGGCACGCGGTTTCTACCCCAGAACCAGGTCAGATACTAGAATATTTTATTTAATGACATAAAATTTCCACTAACGTATCCTAGGCTAGCTGTTCCTGTCTTCCATACATAAAGTTATACACTGTGGTGGTGGTGCCTTGTGAAATTGTGATATAAATTATACATAGTTATACACATTAAAATAAGTACACGAAACCTTCGTATATCGCTGGCTATATACGAGTATATTCCACCGTTATTTATGAAGATCGCCTTATTTAAACTTAAATGCACATAAAACATTGCACATTAGGCGGACTTAATGCCCTTTTGACATTTTCCTCCGCCTTACCTTTGATAATTTAAAATACATAGATATAAGAATACCTGTTGCCTAGCGTTTAATTTAATTAATAATTTTAATTATTTCAGACGGAACTGCTCGCTCCAATGCTGGTCAAAGCTGCGCAACAAAGGGTCATGTCTCCAGATGACAAGGTAAAATACGTGATATAAATGAATAACATAAATATCTAAGTTAAAAATAACTGTGTGATATTATCCTATGCGTGATAAACATAATTACAATTTATTGATTTTGTTGCAGGCGGCCATAGAGCACTACCAAAAGCTGTTAGCCGAGTACGCGGAGTCTTTGGCCAACATGCGGAATTTGTGCGACCAGGCCGTGGACCCTATGGACTTCGTACAGACTGCAGGTAAAGTAATTTGCTTATAATCCTTTCATTTTTAGAAGTGGAATTGTGTAAAGCAATCGTAATCATTTGACAGTTTATAACGTACGATTATTCTGTCAAACGCTTTGTTTAACTGACTTTATCATACGTTATGAACTGTCAAATGAATACAAAATTGCTTTACACAATTCCACTTCTAATTTGTAGATCGAAAACTTCTGAGCCTTTTGATTTTTCAATTTAGTGCATTTTGTAAACCCCTTTTCGATGGTTAAAGAAAACAGGAAGTATTGAAATTCACGCGTGACCATTAGATAGATAAAAAAAAATCATTTCTTTAATTTGTAAGTTTTGTGTGGTGTGCAATAAAGTGCATCTATGTATCCTCTAGTAAACAACATAAAGTCTGGTCATTAAAGCATTCAATAAGTTATATGATTTTCAGGAGAGACTATGCAGCGGTTGCGAGAGGACACTGCCCAGGAGGACGACCCACAAAAGTGTGCCTATGCTTCTACAGCTATAACTAAGTAAGTAGTATTTATTACTGTCATTTTTGCTATAAATATGTGTTTTTATAGCCATAGTGCCCGACTGTAAGAAGTGTTCATGATTATTTCCAAATTTTTCAATATACTGCTATTTTGTTTTAGCCAGCATTATCGTAAATCACCACGAAAACTCTTTCGAAATAATTTCTTTGCTACTTTGTTTAACTGTATAATCAAGTCTCGGGATACTAAAATAAATTGTTTTCAAACAGGTTAGCCAACCGGGTCATCAACGTCAGTATGTCGTCCAACGACGTCCGGAAAGACCCTGAACTACAGAAGCTACTGAAAGAAGCCAAAGAAAAGTTGAAAGCGACGGTACCGCCTCCAAATGCGCGCGCCAGCCGCGTTCCAGATTGGAAAGTCACCACTGCTGAGGTATGATCACTAGAGAATTATGATTTCACTATAACATCATCAATGTAGATTATTCTGTTTTCATCTGATGAGTTTTAGATATATTTTTTTATTTATTTACTATCGCAATTATCTTTCCAAAAAGTATCTTTGATTAATAAGGTTCTGTGAAAAAAGTAAGACTAAAGTATATTCTGCATCTTACATTGTGTCGTTGGTAACTGATGATATTCCGAGCTAAAGTTTTTCATGCTAATAATTTCTATTAATCAATATTTAATATGTTTTCCTTTTGTATAGATTCTACGCACGACAGGCGAAGTTGAATCCGTATTAGGAGGTGAAATGATCTTCAACAAACAACAAGGGGCAGATCAGCCGATATTCGTAAGTAAACGCACAAAATTAACTTTATTATTTTAACAAATAAGGCAGAGTAACTCTCTATAGCAGTGGTTCTTAACCTTTAAGTCACGAGGGACCATTTTGCCAAATTTCTGTCTTGTCAGGGACCACATATTTTTTTCAAAATCCTATGAAAGGGGAGGTCGATTTCTCGTCCACTGTGCGGCGTTTGCGTTGTTGTTGATTCGACTCATCACGTCACGTCACTTGTTTATTACGATGTCTTCGTGGACCACTTGGAATGCCTCCAGGGACTACGGTTCGCGGACCACCGGTTAAGAACCACTGCTCTATAGTTAGTAGTTGTTTGGATAAATTTGATGGATCGTAAAATTGGACAGTCCACTTTACAGTTTAGTTGAATTTTAGTAACTTCTACGCACTTTTCTTGCAAATACATCGGAGTTAATCGTCACTGACTGACCCGTCTGTCTAGCGTGGGAAGTGTAGGCCAAATCTTCCTTTGATCTCTACAAATCTTACCATTTCATCTTTACTGCAAGAGCACGACCTGCTCTGAAGAATGATGATTGACGTGGGGTATAGTGAACAGTGCCACCTTTCTATACTTGGGATGTGTACAAGTGCCCTAAAAAGGGTTCAAGAACTGATTAAATTAAAAGATTTGATTTTGTCTGGTGAATTGGACCACCGAATCACCGAAAACCGACATTGGAGACCGAATGACTTGATGACGATGATATTCCCCAGGCGGCGGCGCGTGACTTGCACTCGGCGGTGCGCGGCTGGTCGGCGCGCGACAACGACATCGTGGCAGTCGCCAAGCGTATGGCCGTGCTCATGGCCAAGCTCTCCGACTACATGAACACCGGTAAGCTTCTACTTGCTTTGACATACAGGGTGGAAACGATAAGTGATATCATTCGATTATTTCTAAACTGTACAAGATATCGAAAAAATGGTCACTAATCCTGATAGTGCGTCACAAGCTCTATCCAATATTAGATTACAGAATTAACTGGATCTATCGGAAAATTTAATGTTTTCAGCCAGAGTTTCAATCAGTTTTTCGATATATTGTATAGTTTAGAAATAATCGAGTGAGATCACTTAATGTTTCCACCCTGTATATGCATTTTTTGTATTACATTGTTCCACCTAAGACACCAATCACCTAGACTAGACTAGGTAACATTATGAATATACACCGCGTACCGTACCGCGTAACTAACAAAGTTGTAGGAGATTCATTATAATCAAGATACCGTTCTGTTCAGCCCTGGACGTCCTATGGCTGAAATAATGATTATGATCATGACTGTTAAAGATAAAGATATTTATTTACATAAACATGTGTCAAAACATATTACAGAGCAACATGATTTGGTCTTACAGTTTTAACAGGTGATACAACATGTTTTACCAAGATAACTGTTCTGTAATTGATTTTCGTTTGTAAGTTTAATTTGGATGTTCATTGTTTCTTAATGATTCAATCGATATGCCTTTTGATTCTTGCGGTCCCAACATCGCCCATAAATTACGTTGCACTTTATAAATGTATCTATGTTTAGTAAGGCTTGCATTATGTCTGCACTTATTTATGATAAGTTTACTTACTATTGCTTCTGAAATGTGATTTCGTTTTACAGACAGGAAACGTGAAGTGCTCTCAACGTCTAAAGCGATCGTGATGGAATCCCATGAGGTAGCAGAGCTGGCGAGAAAACTCGCAAACGAGTGCACGGACGTTAGGATCAAAACTGTAAGTATATTTCAAGAAATCTATTATCTTAACTGTAACTCCTTCTCAATGGTTCGACATCCTAAATACAGCCAGATGAACAAATTCGTAAATTCAAATGCAAACAGTACGTGGCAATTTTAGTATGCATTAAGAATGATTTGTAATGAAAACAGTCTGTTGCAGTCTTTTTTTTGTCGACTGTACCTACATTTATTTTATTTTTCGAATCTGTGATGTTTAAATCGTGGCCGTTTATTATTATAATAATATCGTGACAATTTTAAAGAAATAATTTACTTAGTTTTGAATCAAATTGTAATTTTGTGTTACCTCAGAATCTACTTCAAGTCTGCGAGAGGATCCCAACCATCAGTGGCCAGCTGAAAATGTTGGCTACAGTCAAAGGATCGTCGCTTGGACATCAAGGTATGATACTTCAATATTTTTAAGACTATATTTTTTAACTCGGGGACTTATGGCGGCGGACCGAATCGATAAAACAGCACGCGTAGATGTAGCGCCATCTATGGTTTAATGTATGAACTAGCTTCTCTATGGTTTAATGTGTGTAAGAAGTTTGAAGAAGAAGTACCATAGATGGCGCCTCACAGATAGTTTCTTATTATGTAAATAGATGGCACTAAGTAGTTTATTTATTAGTGTACAAACGTCTGGTATATTTAATAGTGTTTTTGATTAACAGATTTGAAAGAGGACCAAGAAGACATGATAATGTTGGTTGGAAACGCGCAGAATCTCATGTTAAGTGTAAGTTACAAGTTTTTTATTTTCGTTTATGTTCTAGCTTCGCAAGTGAAAGATTTTTTTCTAAGCCACTAAAACAGTATTTTCTTCGATTTATTCTTAGAAATATTGCTAAAATTATTAATTTTGCAGGTCCAAGAAGTGGTAAAAGCTGCAGCCAGCGCCTCGGTCAAGATCGAGTCGCAACGCGGCGGGCCGCGCATGAGATGGGTGCGGAAGAACTACTACTAGTGATTAGTAATCTACTAGTAATAGGTACAATACTTAATGCCATAATAAATAGCATTAAATGGATTGTAATATTATAAAGACAATAAGATGTAAGTATTTGTAAAGGTCTGATAGTGCCATGAAAAATATATTTTTATATGAATTTATTGTGACGTGTGATAAACCAAAGTGATCGAGGATATTCATATTTTAAATAAATTTTATTTTGATATTAACTTGTATGTTCTTTTTAATTAATGTTTTAAGGTTTTTGGCACTTGGTAAAGGAAGTGTACTCAAATTTTAAATTAGGGTTACTTTTTGTCATTGAAGTAATGTGGTCTCAAAATAGTGCCTTGTAGAAGTCCACTCGTGTTAGAAACCAATATTAACATAAAAGTTTAAAACCCGCTGATTTATTATAAAGTAAACAAAATGTTAAAGAATCAACGAAGTGTAGGGTTGATAAAGTAAAACACAAAATTAATAACATAATTTTTATTCTAATACAAAATCGATTACTTAATACCTTACGATGGATCCGGCATTACATAAATAGTGTTAACAACAATGTTTGCAATGGTACGAATTTAAATGATTGGAATGCAAGCGATACACACGCGTCCGGGAACGTTTGTGTATCGTTTGCATTAGTGTATTCTACATTTTGGACTTAAATATTACTTTACATGTAAAATAGAAAGTCACTAAATAATAAGAGCAATAAAAACAATGAAGAGATCTAAATCTTTAAATTTTACAATAACGATAACTGTGTCAATCTTGATCAATTAGGGTTTTCGCGAATGAAAAATCCGCCAGATAGCAATACGTAGACGCGAGGTCCAAATGCTGCATGATTGGTTATTTTTGACATGACATTGACAGATATATCAAAATCCACCAATCACGCAGCAGTCAGACCCCACATCCACGTCCAGCCATCTAGCGGATCTTTCATTCGCGAAAACCCTCATTGAAATGAATAGTTTGAAAGATTGAAATTAGTGACTCTTTATTCTAAACACTTTGGCAACTAGGCTACTCGTCTATGGCACGATGTGGATCACAGTTAGATCGTGGGTCTGAGCTGGTGGTCTACTTTCGTCTGCGGGCCTGTAACAAAAATACATTCCAGTAAGTTTAACACACACACACAGCAACTAATTTTGAGCAGTTTTTTTTAATAGCTTTGTTTCTGAATGTAAATTGCAGTGTTTATACAGGATTAATCACTTGCAATACCGCCCTATGGATTCAATATTAATCACAGAATGGTCTAAAAATACGAGTATTGCTATTATAATATCAACATAAAGCATCAAATTGATTTTGAATAGCGTTTTTATTGAGTGTTGTTTTGTATACCATAGATTCCAGATCAAGTTAACAGTGGCCAGGCCCTGTCTTTTTGGTACACTAGCACCACAAATACTACAACCCAGTCGAACTAACTGCGCACCTTGATCTCGTGAGAACGAGATCTCGAAATTGGCGAGATCTCGCAGTATTGTTATTCATAAACTCGCGGGATATTGCTTTGAGACCCAATCTCGCGAGATTGGCGTTCCCTTGTAATGTATTTTCTCGACGATAAAAAGGTATGTAGCAGTGTACTCACAGCCTCCTTCCTGTCCTTGTTGACGCACACGGAGCGCGCACGGAACGGGTCTGCGTACGCGCACGTGCACTCCTGCGCGAGCGCGTCACGCGTCATGCGCGCCGTAATGGCGCCCGCGGCCGATTGCACGAACTGCTTCTGGCTGCCCGCGTCCAGCGCCTGGTAGTTGTTCGCGGAGAACACGAAGCCGCCCGTCTGGGGAGGGAAAGAAGATTAAATGGCTGTACACGATAGAAAATATACCACGGGGTCACTGAAGAATAGCTTAATACCACTTGATCACTGATCACCCCAAGACATGATTAAATGTTGTTAAAAATGGAATATTCTCACGTCCGAAACACCACAGTGTCTCAAGAAAGTCCTCATAAGAAGGCTCAAGATCACTTAAAGGGCAATGGAGCGTGCTATGCTCAATTTCCCTGCGTGATCGAATCATAAATAAGGAAATCCACAGGAAAACCAAAGTAACTGATATAGTCCACAGAATTGCTAAAAATAACAAGTGGCGGTGGCGGGGCACACAGCTCGTAGAGAAACTAACCACGATAAAAAATAAAACACGGGGTCACTGGTCACCCCAAGACAAAGAAGGCGTCCAACAATAATGCTCTAATTTGTGATATAATGCGTTAAACTCTTACTCTTATCAAAACTGTGTGGGACCCTTTCTAATTTACATTATGTGCCTTCAGTATTCACGATTGACGATTTTAAAAATTCTGAATTATTGAAACTTACCGATTCAACGAAGTCGATGCAAGCGTCGTCGGGGATCTCGAGGGTAGACCTCAAGGTCTCGGTGTCCTTGCCCAACTTCTTGTCGCCCAGCATCAGGACGGAGTGTTCCGTGAAACCTGGAGTAGTAGAAATATTGTATAACATTTGCTGAGTAATCAACTATGGATGGTCTAGAACTCGAGACTTAAAAATAAAAAAATAAATAAAAAATGTATTTATTGCCTTCGAACCATTAGACAGGTACAGGTAGTTAGACTTACAACTATAATAATATGAAGTACACCGAAGGCAATTGGACCTGGCTCAGTCTACGTTGTAGGAGATATCCTTAAGATTTTACAATACAATTTCAAACAGCATCTTCAGAAGCAAAAATGGTGTGTTTACATCGGGCGTATCGCCTCGTGAGGCAGACTTGAAATCCTGCTTACCCTGCTCTTGAGTGAGTTTATCTAAAATTTAATTGAATTGATAGAAGAACTACTCACCAACAACTTGAGCGGCGTTCTTGCCGCTGCCGATCTTGAGGTTGTCGGTGACGGCGACCAGAGAGTGTGTGTACGCCATCTCGTTGAATAAGGTTTCAAAAACGGCAGCGCGGACGGCTTCGACCTGTGAGAGAAAGAGATATAATTAAGATTAAGTTGAAAAACACAACATGTTCATGGAAATTACGATATAGATCCGTTCTTGGATATTGCCATATTGAAATGGAAAAAAAAATCTAAACTTACCAGGAAGAACTGGCTGTGGCATCTCTCGCCGACGACGTTGATGGTGTGTTTGATCGCACCAGGGCGCAGAGGCAGCTGCAAGACTGATTCGTAGCCGGCAACGACGTTTGTGAGACCTAAAAGAAAGTTGGATATGTAGATGATGTTATCATAGCATATGCTGCAAGTGATGAACATTACTATCATGTGATTAACGTTAACTCTTGTGGCGGAGTTTTGGGCTGACACTGTGTAGGTTTGTTGTCGACACGAAAAGAAGAAGAACGTTTGACGTGAATATTTTATGATTCTTGGAACGGATTAGCAGATTTTAAAAATGGTGAGACGGAATTTAAACGTTAAAGTTTCTATCGAGGGAAGAAAGTGTTATATTCTTACCAAGCTGGGTCCTAAGTGCATCGATGAAGTTGGCACCGAACTTGATGGCCTTGTCGGCTTGTTCGCAGCCCGTGCTGATGATGGGTGTCTTCTGGTAGCGGCTCTCGTCATCGAACTGCACCTTGGCGTTCTTCAGTTTCACTGTGGAGTAGAGAAAAGTAGTTGTGATTTATTTTGTAATTTGATTTAGGACAAATCTGGTTTCTATAGAAATAATGTCTAATGTCTTTTAAAGTCAAACAGTAATTCTTCAGCAGTATTTAATCTTGCAATACTGATTTTTAGCTTTGATCGATAGCGAAAAAATTAATACCAAGAAAACAGGATACCGTGCTCTAACTCAGTACAACAGAGACTGATCTAATTGAGAAGTTCTAAAATAAGCTCTCGCAAGATCTTATCTATAAAAATATACCAAAACTTACGGTCAGTGTCATAGACGATGGGGTAGGGCATCTTGGAGGTGATGCCGACCAGGTACACCTTGATGTCGGCGATCTTCTTGCTCTTCAGGTTGTCCACGAGCTGCGACACCAGGGGGATGACCACGCTCTTAAAGTTCTTTTCGTTGCTCTGCAAGAAAACGATCATATTAGTTGGTTCTTTGCTATTTCCCAGGTCTGGGAATAATGATAACATCTACAATCTACATAGATCGAATTCTGAGGCTTCAAATGTCGTTAAGTCTTACGATTTAAAAGTTTATTATTAATTGATGTAGAAATCGCAGTAGTTTATTAAGTTGACTCAAAGTCTTCGATGCCTGCTCTTGCTATGTCTCTTGGCACTAGCCTGGGTTTGTCAATGTGGTTTATCGCATATTATACCAGGTTGGCGTAAGGTCCATGTTACTCTCCAGTGGCGTTAACTAGTGAACGCATTTACTCTGCAGAGAAGGAGGCAAAAGAAACACCGCAGTACTTGCTCATAGAGTGCAGAAGCGTAGAAGAACAACGGGCTCAATTTCTCCAATCACCAGCGTCGCTGCAGGAGCCCTGTAGTGGCCTAGACAGGTTGTTTGCTTCCTGGGGGGATCTGGGGTGGTTGGAGTATGAAAAAATCGCTCACAATAGCCCAACCATGAGGCTAAGTGCGACATTCAATTGCCCTGCAAAACTAACTAAATACAATCAGTGAACAGCATCGTCAAAGGATACTCACCACAGTGGTCTCGACGGTGACGACGATGTCAGCCTGCTTGTTGGGCAGCTTGAACTCGTACGTGTCGCCGATGTTCCTGGGCTTGTCTGCGTCCTGGCACTGCACGCACACTGACGGGAGCACAGCGGGCAGTAAGCCAGTAATAGCGAGTGCAGTGTAGCCGCGAGCGAGGTCGCAGGCCTGTTGGAGAGCGTCGTCGCCGGTGGCTGCGTGCGCGCACGCTTGTCTATGGAAGAACATGCAGGTCAGACGACGTGAAGAATTAAAGTTAGCAATTTTAACAAACAAATTAATCAGTTACTCCGTGACCATGACGCAAACAAATCATTTTCAGTTTGAGGGTGTTCGTTCATTCGTTCGATTCAGCCGAAAGACGTCCACTGCCGGACAAAGGCCTCCCCCAAGGATTTCGACAAAGACCGGTCCTGCGCCACTCGAATCCAGGCGCCTTCCGCGACCTTCACCAGATCGTCGGTCCACCTAGTGGGAGGCCTGCCCACGCTACGTCTTCCGGCTCGTGGTCGTTTGAGGGCGTATATTGAAGATATTTAAGCAAAGATGACTTCTTCGTTTTGGGTTTTTGAAGTTAGAGTTTCGCTTGCGGTAGACTCAAATTTTCAATATCTACTTACATAATATTTTGGTAGTAAATCATGGTGTCGTATACACCCTAAATGAATCAAATACCTACCATCTCTATCGGGTAAGATAATTGGGTTCGAAAAGGGACAAAATTATTACAAAACACTTAGTTTTCCTAGATGACCTTTTAGCACAAGTACACACCTGAAGGGAGCCACGTCCATGAACAGCGACAGGGGTTTCAGCGGTGAAGTCCCGCCAAACACCTGCTCGCACGCCGGCGGCATCGCGCCGTGCATCTGGTGGTGCGAGTGCTCCGGAGTCTTCACTTGAGGACAGCTGGACGCCAGCCGGTATGCGTTGCCGAATTCGGATTCGGAGGTCGAGATCTAAGGGAGAAGAACAGTTGGAGTTAGAATAGGAGAGATCAACAGAAAACAACATTAGATATTGTGACAGAACGGGGCAAAAGAACACCAAAAGAATATGACGGTCAGAATGGGAATGTGTTTTACAGAAGAAGAACACATTAAGACCGTCACATTGGAAAAAAAAAACATGTGACAATCAGAAACAACGTGTAACAGTCAAAAGAGAGATCTATATAAAAAACTGGTGACAATCAGAATGGGAAAAGAGGTCGACGGAAAAGAAACATTTGACAGTCGGAATGGGAAAAGAGATCTACAGAAAAGAATACGTGAAAATGTTAGAAAGAGAACCTGCGATAAAACGGGAAAGAAACCTACATAAAAACATTGTGACAGTCAAATGGACAATTACAGAAAAATAGTGAGTCAAAATATGGTAATTAAGAACTTGATAGTAAGTATTTAATAGGGTTCCAATTTTTTATTCATTTGGACCCCAAGACAAGACAGTAAGAAACAACTGATAAATACATAGAATAATGAAAATTACCTTTCCGTTAGGCAGCCTGAAGTCGTCGAAGGGTTCGTTGTTGCCGTCTCCGAGGAGACCGCGCAGCTTGCCGAGGTAGAAGCCGGACACTTCGATGAGACAGCCCTGGGGATTAACAAATAAGGGTAAAAATAATATCCCTAAAAGTTCTATAAACCATTTATGTAAATAGTCATTGAATCCTTGCCATAGAAGATTGCTACCAGCTTCTGATGGGGCTTGAAACCACGACCTTTCGCTTGCAGAGCGATTACAGAGATAAAATATCATGGTTACCACAAACCATTGCAGAAAGACCATGGTTATGGTTAAACCTGTTGAATTTTTATGATTCAGCGTCATTTTGCCACTGTAAGTAGTAGGTATGAACCCCTTTTTTTAGTTGCAAACTTATCGTTCGTTTCAGAGAAATAACGTCCATAGCTGGACAAAGGCTCTCCCAAGACCTACAACGACCAAATGATATCATCATAAATGGCTCAAAAAGTCCCAAAAACTATAATAAATGTCAATACATACCTCAAGCTTGGGGCTGCAGCGCACCATGACGCCGTATCTAGAGCCGAAGCCGACGCGGCCATTGGGCTCGCGGAACGCGAACATGTCTCCTTCGATCACCGGGAAGCCGTGAGTCGCGCCGTCGACTGCCACCTGGAGAGGATATCACGTTAGAGAAATTCGGTTTTTGAGGCCTTATGTTAGGGAAGTGAAGTTCAAAATGCATTACAATTTTTACACTTGCTGCTAAAGTTCATGTGCAAGATGCAAGATATTTTTGAAAATGAGTCTTTTTGTACTGGAGAAATGGCGATTTTGAGCATCTTAAACTCCTATTTTAATTTTGATTAGATTTTTCGGATTGATCGTTCTGGGTCCAATAGCCCAAAAGTAGTTTTATGAAAAACTGTGTTTACTGGTTGGGTTTTATCAGCGGTTAACTTGTAGATTTTGGCTACAGAGTAGTGTGGATTTGAGATGGGCATAGTCTCCAAATATGACGTATCGGAACATTTCATAATAGTCCCTGTCTTGCCAGTGACCTCGTCATTTGCTTCTGATAAACTGGAAAGGATGTTGATTCTGCAGTGGAAACTAAATAACCGGATGATGATGAACTGAACATACCTGTCCATTGTCCTTGATCTCAACAGTCTTTCCGCTCTTGTCGACGAGTCCGATCGCCTTGGGAGCACCAGCAGCCAGTTGCAGGACGATCGTAAAGTTGCGGTCGACGTAGTCGTGCGCGAGCACGTAGCGGCACGCGCCGGGGAACGTCATGTGGCGGCCGTCGAATGTGAAGATATGCTGGCCGTTCACGATGAATGCGCGCACTGGAGAAAAGTTTAGGGTTAGATCGTTCGTCGAACAAAAGTATAACGGAACTTAGTTTTTGAATATACAACTGATCGAGCAATCGGTAGTCGGTCATTCGGTAAATTGATCATTCATTCACTTTAGATGTCGCGTCGCTGAGCTGTGGGTCTAGACAAAATGCACATTATAATCGCAAACCAGTCGAAAAGTGGTCAAAAAGCCTTTTTTTGTATGGGGTTTTGACGGATTCGATTTTCGATTCGACCAAAAAGTGCATTTCTAGACCTACTGGGCTGATTGAGCCGTGTCAGATCAATTCTAACACTAGGGCTGTATCTTGAAGAAGACCTTGAATATGAGAGGTACGAGTGTGATGCCCTGGTGAGTTAGCTAGAAGTCCATCTACACTCCATCTCTCCACTCATAATCAAGTCCTAGGTTTTATTCTCAAATTGAACCAATAATTCCAAATTATAACTTTTCAAAACCTTTGAAATGAGATTTTGTAATTGTTTTGACATGATTACTATAAAGTTGGTGAACCAAATGACGTTGTTAGACCATAAAGTCTTACAAAATCTATAAGAGAATCCAATTTTTTTACGACATGTTAGCTGATTGCTTTCAAAGGAAAATCAATAGAATGAGCTTCAAATTGACTATGAAAACTGTAGTCAGTACTCACGTTTAGCGGGGTATTCGTCAAGCGGGTTCAGGCTGCGGACTCTGTACTCGCGGAGCAGCTTGTGCGGGTCGTCCACGTCTCCATTGAGGAGCTGGTTGATGAAGCTGAAGGCGGGCGGGCGCCCGAAGCCGCCGGGGCTGGTCTGGGACGGGCCGCCGAAGATGGCCAGCTGTAGAGAAGAGGGTGTGTTGAAATTGTTACGTTCAAGGCTAAAGTATAGGCTAAAGAATACTTTATTCAGCATAGAAAAATAAAAAAATAATAAAGTACATATAACATTAAACTACAAGCTATGCTGAAGAGGCGTCCGCTCAGCTATATTCGCGACATAACAAGCGCCATGTCGAGAAGCTGGTTTTCAGCGGTAACCAACACGATGAAGATTGTGGATTGCGCGCCCTCTTGACCGGGACTACAGGGTGAAAACGATAAGTGATCTCACTCGATTATTTCTAAACTATACAAGATATCGAAAAACTGGTTATTGATCTTGAAAGTGCTTCACGAGCTCTTTCAAACAGTATCAGTAATAGGTTACAGAATTAACTGGATCTATCCGAAAATTCAATGTTTCCAGCTTCCATACATTTGGTAATGTCACATTATTTTAAAAACTATACATGATATCGTACAACTTATTACTGATTCTAAAAGTGCTTCACAAGCTCTATCCAATGGTATCAATAATAGGTTACAGAATAAACTTGATCTATCCAAAAAATCAATGTTTCTTTCTTCCATACATTTAGTACTACCACAGTCATGACACATCTCTTGACAAATATTATAGCAAGTAAAGCCTAAAACCAATATTTTCCATGAATAATTTTAAATAAGAATACAATTTACGAGTTTATTATTAAATAAAAATAATTACACTTCTAATATTGTGTGGCTGGCATACATTTAGTATGGAAGCTGGAAACATCGAATTTTTAGATAGATCCAGTTTATTCTGTAACCTATTATTGGTACCGTTTGAAAGAGTTCATGAAGCACTTTCAGGATCAGTAACCAGTTTTTCAATATCTTGTATAGTTTAGAAATAATCGAGTGAGATCACTTAACGTTTCCACCCTGTATATTGAGGCTACCAGTCAAGAAGGCGCGCAACAGGGGGCGTTATGGACGGTGATCACAAAAAAGAGAGAGAATAAAAAAACAAAAAATAAAACAATAATATTTATTAATAAAACAATAATATTTATATAAAATAAGTGTTTTTATTCTGGATATAAAGGTATAGACGGAGGTACCTCAAACCGGTCTTTATGTATTTGGATAGGGGCGGAGGGGGTAAAAAAAAATGTCTTGTTGATCGATCGTGCTGCAATTTTTTTGCATTCTGATTTTGTATCTGTGACTTCATGAGCCTTAATTTTAAAGTTCTATATCAATAAAATTTATTTTGCAAAAATTTTCAACTTCACATTAATTCTTGGTTTTCTATAAATGTCAAAAAACTTAGGTCAGGTATTTTCAGGTAAAAATTTAGGTACGTTTCTAAACGCGCTGTAGAAATATACGAGTCACTATGTAAGGTTTTTTGTGTTATAGTCTGGTCCGTGAGCACGTAGAATTTTGTCCAATGACCCCAAGCTACCCATCCTTATCGCTCGCGCGTAATTATGTTGCTATCGCGCTCGCACACTCACTGCGGGTGCCAGTCGCACAGTCGCGACAGCAATATAATTACGCGCGAGCGATAAGGATGGGTAGCTAGGGGTCATTGGACAAAATTCTACGTGCTCACGGACCAGGCTTTAGCTGAAGTAAGCACGACAAAGTAACCTTGCTGGTGATCTAAATAATTAAGCAAACTTACCGGGTTGACGACGAAGTTGGGCACGCCGAACTGGCCGAGCTGCGCGCGCACGAATTGCACGAGCGAGGTGAGCGCGCGCGTGAACTTCTGATACAACGCGCGCATTTCCGCGTTCTCATCCAGCTTCTCGTGCAGGCGTTTCTGGAGATATTAGTATGATTAACTTTAACACGTCGCATTGGCACATAATGGCACCAGCATGTGGAGGCCACGCACTGAAAAGTGCAGCGTAGGACGTCCACCCACAAGGTGGACCGACGACCTCATAAAGGTAGCAGGAAGGCGGTGGATGCAGACCGCTACCAACTGGCCTTTTTGGAAATCATTGGGGGAGGTCTATGCTCAGCAGTGGACGTCCTATGCCTGAAATGATGATGATGATTGGCACTTAATTATCTACCAGATTATCTTTATCATTATTAAGTGTCTGTGATCTTGGGGCAGAGATAAGGGTCTATTCCTTTTCTTTCTTTGATCACTTAGGTGATCTTATCCATGGATGATCAAAGGACACCAAAGTGTCGCCTAGAGGAGGAGTGATAAAATACAGGTTATCAAAGTGGCATAGATCGACACAAGTCTTTTATTAGCTATTCTTACTGAACCCAAGTTATTGGTGCACTGCATTGAATATGATGATATCATCCAAATAAAGCATACCTTCTCGAGGTATCTGTAGACGGCGGCAGAGAACTCCTTGGTCTCGGGCGTGGGCAGCAGCGACTGGATGGTGTTGTGGAGCTGAAGCGTGAAGTCCAGGATCACGTCAGGAACAGCCAGTTCTTGGTACTGGTGGAGAAGATATACAGTTAGAGAGAATAATTCACTTTGAGGCTATTTGAATAGCCTAACATGGGCGTACCCAGCTTCTGGCCTAGGGGGGCAAATTCGATTTTTGAGGTCAGATAGTTTTGACTTCGTTCCTTCAAAGCGACTTCCAGGGGGGCAGTTACCCCCCTTCCCCCCTGCCTCCCCTCCTGGGTAAGCCCATGTAGCCTAAAACAACATTTTTCATGCTCCAGACTCAAATATCTCCAGTATAGCTGCTAGAATTGTTGAACATAAAATTTAGGTGAACCACAGTTTTGAAGATTTCTCAAAGAAAGATGCCATGACGATAACGTCTGAAACAACAAACAAGTTATTAGAATCCTTACTTTCTCCTTGATCATGTCGAAGATGGGCAGTTCCTTTATCTGTTTGGACAGATCCTCGAAGAAGGCGGAGGATTTGGCGCGGAGCTCCTTCAGTTGAGCTACCACTAGGCGGGTCAGGTCTGGAAGAAGATAATCAAATTCAAATATTTTTCTCTATACAGGGCTCGTTTCAAAGTAGTGTCCATTTTTCTTTTTGCGTGATAAGTTACCGCAAGTACGTAGACTCTTTAGTCGTTTCGTCATTACCATCATCATAAGCATTTATTGCTGTATTTCCTACACCCTTCTCTCCATTGCTATTTAGAAAGCATTACCATGTCCTGTCCAATGTCCACGAGTAATTGCATTTCCCTTTTTCAATTCTCACAACCACTTAACTCAATTTCATAGGATAAGATAATAGTGTTATTAAAATATACTGTTAATTATGAAAAATCTAAAACGTTAAAATAGCGGTATCGTTATAGCCAATGAGCTGCTGTCATAGTGACACAAACGTATTGTCAATGTCACACGAGCATCAAACGTCAGAATAGAGGGACGCGCGGAGGCGACTCCGCGCGCTTTTGTGCTAAGTGATGAATTGTATCTAAATTAAGGCAATATAATGTGAAAGTTAAGTATCCAGTGTTTTATTTATGAGAATAGATCGACCGGCCTTTAATAATACTAACTACGAATATATTTTAGCATTATAAACTTACCCTTAAAGATCTCAGCCAGGGTGTTGGTCAGCTCCTGCAGCTCAGCCTTGTGCTTCTCGAAGAAGTCGGTGACGATGGCTGCGAAGTGTGCTACCAAGTCCAGGAGTCCATCGAAGAACTCCTTCAGGAGCGCGCCGGCTGTCGCGTACAGCTGCTTAATCTGAGGCTCCACCTACAAATAGAAGAAGGTAAGAAAAGTCTTTAAAAAAGCAAGGAATCACGCGGATAGTTTCCTTCTGTTTAATATGGGGCTCCACAGGAAGAAGTTCAGTCTTCAGAAGAAAGCAAGGAATCAGGCGGACAGTTCCCCTCTTAGATCATAAATTCAGCACATTTTCCGTGGCATGAATTGGTGACTTTATGGTATCAAAGCCATTTGAAAAAACTAACATAGATTATAGTTCCAAAATACTGGACTGTCCTGTCGATGACATTGACAGTGGGGCGCCACCGTCAATACCGGATCGCTGGTTCAGATTTTTGCCATGTTGGAAACCATATAGTTGAACGATGGTAGCGCCCCCCTGTCATTGAGTTTGGTGAGACAGTTCAGCGTGGGTCATCTATATTTTCTTAACAATACAACTTTACAAGCAATCAAAGAATACAGGTAAAAATCCTGCCTTGTTGAATATTAAAAAAAATCCTCTGCCCTCACTTTCGGTCTATTCATCACATTCCATCAAGTGAGATGCAGACAGTGTGCCAAAAGGGCACCATTAAAGGCTATGGCATTATTTTGATACTTATTACAAGATATCCAAACAGAAGAAGAGAGATGATTACTTATTTGATTAAATGGAAATAAAAGCATAATTTGTGAAGTCTACAAACCTTGGAGGCATAGATGTCTTCGATCTTCTTGACGGTCTCAGTGACGACCTTGTTGATCTGCTCGAAGATAGGCGCGGTGGCCTTGACGATGTCGCTGATGATACCTCCAATGAACTGCACTGCGTTGTCCCTGAGAAATTAACGGGACATTAGAAATATGACTCTAAAATGAGTAAACGGGACTATTCCCACCTCTCGTTCCCACCACTGCAATTCCTGTGTAGCCAGGATCTACAGCTTGACCGCCACAAAAACCCAACCGATGAAGGTCAAGTTTGTCCCGGGGGAAAGTTAAACTGTCATTGGACCCGCAACGAAATTAATCAGAAGAACATAGGAGGAGTTCGAAATTAAGGTTAAAGTTAAAGGACTCTAAAATGATTACTATAGTTTATGAGAATGTGAGTAGATCATCTGCTACCTTCTAAAGAAATATTTTAAGAGGTTCTAATGGAGTGAGTTTCGTCGACTGTTGCAATCTACAAAATCATTCTGCCCTGAAGATGCTCTCTTAAAAACTACGAGAAGTTACTATCTACAGATAAGTTATTTGATAAAGTCTATAGGAACATGTGAGGGTCTAAACAGCCCGGTATGATCCATTTATAAAAAATATGTCATTTGAACACTTACAAAGCCAAAGTGATGTCCTTCAACACCTTGTCGTTGGCGAGTTCCTCGTAGAGTTTCTCGATGTCCTTCTGGTAGGACTTGGTGAGGTCCTCGAGGGTCGGCTTGACCCTCTGCAGCGTGGCCTTGAAGTCTGAGCTGGCCTTCTCTCCTAGCTGCTTGATACGTTTCTCCAGGGTTTGCAGGTCGTTCTTCAAAGCGTTCTGTATGATGGACAAGAAGAAAGTTTGGTTAATCATTGAGATTTAGTGGAAGATCAGAGGCAAAGATTTTTGTAAAGACATCAGTAAGAGATCTCAAACACGTATTATCAAAGTAGGTAGAGGTAGTTAGTTCTAATGAAATTAGGTAATGTATTCTTCTGTCATTTTCAACTAAATGACATTCGTGATGGCTTTGATTCTGAAATCACTTCGGTTCCACTTTTTGTACAGCAGTGGACGTCAATTGGCTGGCGCGTATGACGTAACTAATTCGCTCCAAGAAGCGATTGCGGAATTAAATCCGTCACTGTTACTTTGTTTAGGGGGCTGGTCTTAAAAGCATGACAGGCGATCAATTTACAATTAAAATGCCGTTAGTCGTGGGAACAAAATATTATTAACAGAAGATCACTTACGATAAAGTAGTTGAAGTTCTCCTTAGTGGCGCCGTAGTCGCTCTTGACGAGGTTATCCTGAAGGAACAGGGCTCCATGGACAATGTTCTTCTTCTCTCCTCCCAAGATGATGTCAGCGCTGATGTCCACGCGCTTTTCAGGCTGGAGATGACCAACAATCGAGAGCTTGCGGTCGGACTCCTCTGCAGGTTAGAATTCGGAGTCAGATACAGAAGTTGAGAGAAGTTGGTAAGATAAATCGAAAGTTATTGGTGATCTTTAGGATGAATGGGTTTTCTAACGGGATATCTGGTCTATTCCATATTTTTTAAGCAATTTATAAAAAAGCGTTTTTACGTCCCTGTCTGAATATTTGTACATAATACAACTTCGGGACAATAAGGTGGACCAGTACTGAGAAGCAGTAGTGGATTTGCTCTATAAAACATTATCAAAGATGTTCTCCTGACAATCTATGACGCATTGCCCAGAAGGTGCTTATCCTTTAGTACCTTTTTTGCGTTAGACTTTAGTCGATTTAATTTTGCATATTTCGTGTAATTTAGAAAAGATTTGAGCTACCAATTGCGAAGGTGAATGAAGGTGACTAAGCAAGCAACTAGCATTTAGCCCTACGTAAATGCAGTTGAAAATAATCACCACTATAACCTGTTGTGAACTCGTAGTACTGGAAGTCCTTGACGACTCCTCGCACGGAGACGGGCTTGCCTTCGAGCAGGCTGAAGCGGGCGTCAGCTTGCTGTAGGTTCTCCTTGACGGTGGCGGAGCCTTCGATGTCGATCACCTTAACGAGGGGAGTCTCGATCTAGGAGGTGAAATAACAATTTTTGAGACCTGTTAAACTTCTGAAACACGCTCTTTTTAGGCACTTATATACGTCCCGATGTAGTTTGCCCTACTATCATTTTGGAAAACATTATCAGCTGGTGCTGAAAAGTAGTAAATAAAATAAAATAGGTATTAGTTTATTCAGTACATAGGCCCTTTCCAGGGCACTCATACACGTCCCAAATATAGCTTGCCCTACCACCACTTCGGGACAACAATGGGCTGGTGCTGAGAAGAAGTGGCGGAAGAAACTCAGTCACCTTGTCAGCCTCTTTTTAATCGAATACAGTTGTGGATGAAAAATTACAATTGTCAGCCTTTATGTATTACAGCAAACTTTTACATACCTATTAATAATTACAGTAGGCAGAAGAAAAAATACTTTCATCTTAATCATAAATAATCTTTTTTTTTCACAAGGATTTTCTTGATCTTTAAGGTAATGTTAGTTCTTAAGACTGGACAGTGTTAAACAAAATGTGTGATTGTGAAGGTACTTACATAAAGTTTGACGTGCGCTGGGTTGACTTCAAAGTAGATCTTGCTCTCGCGGTTCTGCGAATAAAAAAACATTTAAATAAATTATTTAATTAACTAGGTATGAACTAGGAGACGGAACTAATAATTAAATAATGTTCACATAACGCTCGTGAGTCCGACACTAAGGCTATGTTCAGATGGAAAAATTTTGACGCGCGTTTTCAAATCGCGCGACTAGACATCGTAGTATTTACATACAACCGATCACATGAGCGCGCGTTGACGTAGCGCTCAGAGAAAAAGTCTCTAGACGCAGGCGATCGCGCGTTGACGTGCGCTTTGTCAGGTTTGTTTGACTGTTCAGATAAGCGCGCGCTTTCATCGCTATAGCTTCTTCCACGTCCATTTTCTAAGCTCTATTGAAACAGACTGACGAACTCCTCGCAACGAACTTGTCATATGAACTCTTTATAAATTTAATTCCGCGTTGACCTGCGTTAACGTAACGGACCTATTGTCCTGTAAGAAGAAGAAGAATAAAGAAGAAGCATAGTACTCACGCCTCCAATAGTCGGGTGGGAGATGGACGCACTGGATTCATACTTGAAGCTGTTCTTGTCAGGGACGGCCAGGTTGGCCTTCACCTTCGCCACTGCCTCCTGGAAAGGATGTAAGGTTTTAGTAATCGCCATTTCTTTTGGAATCTCTAACAATTTTATATAAGTAAGGAAGTTGATAAGTATACACGCCATGTGTAAACTTAAGAGAATTATCAAATGAAAGATACTTACTGCTTTTTGTAACTTGTAAGAGGTAAATGGAGAATTTTCTGACCAAAAACCTGATTAAGAAAGAAAACTTTGAACAACTTCTGTAACAATCGCTCTGTCTTCATTTTATTTATTTGCAGCTCAGTCTTTCAAAGTTTTAGTTAAAAATTTTTGAAAATAAACCTAAGGACGTGGCCCTGTCGAGCTTCCAAAACGCGATTCAATCGCGTTTAGCGTTTTCAAGTGGAATGTGTGGTCTCTGCATTCATCTTCTAAAAAGCGGATAAATCACCGATGGCCGATGCCAAAATTAGCATGTGTGCTGTGGCTCAATGAAATACAACATAGTTCCTCAAACCTTTAAGTAGGTACGGGAGTATTCCCAATGCTGCAACTCATGTGTAGCCAGATCTACAGCTTGACCGGCAATAAACCCAACCAGTGAAGGTCAAGTTTGTCCGGGGGGAAGTTAAACTGTCGTTCCACAAACCTTGCCAAGTTTCGGGTGGCTGAAGGCGACCTCAGCGAGCGCGGCGTGGGCCTTCTCGTCGCCGGTGACGTCGAACACGAAGCGCGCGCCGGACTTTTGTTGTGGGTGGTTCTTGTCGGGGTGCAGGAACAGCTCCGCCTGGGAAGGAAATAATTTATCAGTATACAGCTTTGCCACGAGTTAACGTAAGCAGTCCCTCATTTAGTCATCTAAGCCTTAGATTCTAAGGGGCTGCCCAAACGTAGACTACCTATAGTAATTTAAAACGTACTTATAACTTTTGTTATAGAAAAGGCACATCATCACAGAAAACAGTATGCTGTCAAATTTCTACTTTGGCAATTTATAGATCTTTTTGTCTACTATTTGCACCTACCTTGATGGGGAACGGCAGCGCCTTGTCGGTGGGGTAGGCCACCAAAGCCTCGATGGCCAGCACACGGTGCGGCAGCGTAATGACCACGCCGGCGGGGAAGCCTGGGGAAAATAGTTGTTGGTTAAATTTTTGAGACAGCAATAGCAACGATAATCAGTGTCAGACTGCCGATTCGAGAGTCGGTAGTTCGAACCCCGTCGTAGTAGTTATTGAGGGGAACCCAATTATGATACAAGCAAACATTAACGCCCGTGTTCACAAACATTGCTATGCAGCTATGAGGTCTCACAGTGCGCGTGGACGCACAGGGTGACACACGAACCAATCACAGATCTCTATTCAACGCTGTGCGTTCAATTTGCTGCTTCACTTAAGCAAGCATCGTTTGTGAATTCGGGCTGTGACATCTTGTCTTGTGTAGTTATAATAGAATTGATTGATATTGCAATAAAAATGTATAGTCTGATATGCTGCCGTCTGACATCTGTTTAAAAAAATTGCAGCCCGCTATACATTATACCTTCGATCTCAAAAGACCACGTAAATTCATGTCTTTAAAACAGTATTATCATGTAAACAATTAATAAGCAGTAAGTTTAAAAAAGTCAATAGAAATTCCGAAATAATCTCATGAACAAACAAAATTCCAACTCACGTCCATAAGTAGGCTTGCTGTAGACCTGGAAGTGGTACTTCCTGTCCTCCTTGTTGACGTGCAGGTCGAGGCTGTACTGGGGCAGCTTGGACTCCGACATCTCGCTGTTGATCTCGAGCCCGAACTCCGGAGCGATGCCCAGCTTGCGCAGGTCGAACACAACGTTGATTATGTGCTGGGCCACGCCTGGTTCTGGAGACAAGTATCGAATGAAATGTTTAGTCCTAAATAATACGTAATTAATTTACTGTAGATCAGTGTTTTTCAACCTTTTTCATGACACAACCCCCTAGTATGAAAAAATATTTTGAGACCCCCCGACCGTTCGCTTTTTTTTTTCATGCATTTTAAGGGTTACAAAGATGTTGTTGTTACCGATTTTTTTCAATCCATACAACTCTATCTATAAAACTTTATTGTTTTTTTAACTGAGGTAGTTTTTACGACTCCTTGCGACCCCCTGGGGGGTCGCGAAGCTTCTATAGGGGATAGAGGCTTCGCGACCCACAGGTTGAAAAACACTGCTGTAGACTATCGAAGACCCATGGCACTTTTTGGGCTACTGAGCTATCGGAGTAAAGGTAGGAAGCGAACATCAGGTCTCCCCAACCCACCTGGTAGAGTGGGGAAGGTAACCCAAATCTATTTGCCTCTCGTAAAATGGAGAGGGTCGTTACTCCTGTGGTTAAGACTAGATGACCTTATAATGGAATGTTTACTAATCACTAAATAGAAAAAAAATTGTAAAAATCATCACGACCACTTTTTACATTATTTCGATAGTTTATTGGAATGTCATGAAGACAAGGCTAGTGGGTTAATAGGTTACAATAGTAATCTAATCATATTCGACAAGTCATCAACTCTCCACCAAATTGATCTAACGTTCACTAATTTCAAATTGATCTCAGAATCACAAGTTACTACAATGACAATAAAACATTTTTAACGCTATCTCCCTACGCTCATCCACTTCATTGATACTTACTCTGGAGGTTCAGTTTGGAGTGGAACTCGGCGTTGGCGCACTGTTTCTTCTCCTCGCAGTAGACGTAGGACGTCTTGTACTCGACGTTGGTGACGCGCGACTCGGCGACGTAGCTGCGCTCTCCGATGGCCACGTTTAGGAAGGTCTGTGTGATAAGAGATTAGAGCTTGAGTATTCATTTACTTAAAGCAAGTAGAAAAGAAAGGGGCTTCCTCAAAACAAGAAGGAAGGGCCTTCTTGTTACAGGTATAACGTTTAGCTGAGTAGTGGTAGTGGAGCAGTACGGAAGGGTGTTTTCTACGTCAAGTGTGACTTCATATGTCTGTGCTTCAGCAACTTTGTTTATTTACCTTAACCCCTCCATTACCGCACGAACCCACTCACTTAAGCGTTATAGTTATACCTACTTGTCTCTATTGTAATAATCTAATGTAATATTCTTTTGAATATTTCTGTTACCTTGTACGATGAAAAGGTTTTGATGACAGTACTCTTATCAAATTTAAGAAAACGTAACAAGAACCACCAGATCAAGGCAATTTTCAAAGTATTTCTTTCTCACCTCAATGCCCTGCTCGTTGCCTTCGGTGAGCACAGTGCGGATGTACTTGAAGTTGGCGGACTTCTGTTCTTCCTTGACCTTTACGGAGCCTGAGCCCTCGATGATGGTCTTGGGGCCTTCCTGCTTGCTGATGAACGAAGTGCTGCAAGAAAACATGGGAGCAATTAGACGTTCTTCTTGTCTTGATTTCAAACTAGAAGTAGGAGAAATAATGGATCACGAACTAAATTCAGACACGACCAGTAACCAGTCTGGAGCATCTACTTATAGATTTTAGAACCTATCTCAAGGGTTTGTATTTGGGTCACGTGTATATAATAAGTCTTCTGGCAGAAGTTTGCTGCAAAAAGATCGAAGAAGATCCAAAAAATGACGATGGATAAAGAACACTGCTGTATACGGGACTATTCCCACCTCTCGTTTCCACTGCTGAAACTCCAGTGTAACCAGGATCTAAAGCTTGACCGCCAATAAAAACCCAACCAATCATGATTGTCCCCAGGGAAAGTTAAACTGCTGTATGCTGATTCCTTACCTTCCACTTAGAACGTTCTTGTTGTCATTTTCAGCGTGGAACTCCAACCGTTTGCCGCTGCCAGCGTCCTTGCTGGAGATGTCCACCTTGTAGTTCTTCAAGCCCAGTTTCTGTGAGTTGGCAACCAGTTTGAAGGCCACGTTGTCCTTCTGGACGTTGCCTTCGACGACGGCGTCTAGATCCACTTCGCGAATGTTCTCGATCTTCACTTCGACCTTGCCTTGGGTGGAGCTGAGGTGGGAGCCCTTGATGAGGACCCTGGGGAAGATGAAGATTGTTTTAATGAATGCTGATTAAAAATAATTGAACTATAATCTTCTGACGTTAGAAATGATACAGGTTTTACTCCTATTTTTTCATTTTATTTTAAGTAAACTTTTTTATGGTGAGCTCACTTGTGATACAAGCATATTATTTAGCTTACTTAGTACGAGGGGCTAACGGGAGTATTAGTGATTTACTTTTTATATTAACCTGAATCATATATTTTTTTCTAAAAAAAGCACAATGGCTTTGTGGATTTGATTCATGTAATATTTTAGATTATTTAAACGTGGGTCAAATAGAAGTGTTTAAATGTGGCTTGAACCTGCTGCTAAAAGGAAATTGTGTACCCCCAAATCTTGGTCCACGGATTAATCAGTATTTATTACCCGACTGCGCTAGAAGGAGAGCCATTGTCTTTGTCTTCTTACCTGTTGTCCTTAGGCTTGTTGGGAGCGTTGGTGGGCACATAGTGGTGGTACTCGACCATGGGGTTGACCTTGGAGTAGACCACGTTGAACTCGTACTTGTCGGCGAGTCCATCGTTGACGTCGATCATGATCAGAGAGTTCAGCGAGTCAGGGGTGTGAGACTGTTGAACAAAACATTAATTAAACATTTTCCTTTTTTTAACCTTTGTCTAACAGTGGACGTCGAACAAAATTAACCTTCAAAGGTGCCTTAGCCTGCATCTCATCTAATAAGTGATGATCAGGCAAAGAGGTTACAGCTTTAAGTAAAACCTGAGAGAGTAATTAGATCCAGTCACTAAATTGAGAGTCTGCTGTACTTGTTGCAATTCATGAAGGCGAGTGAGCTTTACATGTGTGGTGGCTCGCTACTGATCGTTTTTCAAAAGTTTTGATAGACATTACACTATCGTTATGTGCGTGTACGTAGGTAGGTACTTACCTACACACACAAGTAAAGCTCACTCGTCTCGTGAGTTGCAAGAACTATACTTAAACAAGGGAGGTTTTTAACTGCAAAGTTTTATAGCTTAGCTTTTAAAGTCTTCAATGACAGTAGGTAAAGTTGATTGAAGAAGCGGAGTTCAGACAGATCTTGAAATCACTCCTCCGACAAGAACAAAGCTCTTGAGCAATGAATGAATAAAATCTAACAGACATTACTGAGTAACGAGCTAAATATACTTACAGAGGTGGAAACGTCCAGCACAAGAGATTTCAACTGCGGGTAGTGCGGGGCCTTCAGCTTGAGGCCGAGGTTGTACCACTTGGGCGCTCCCGACTTGCCTTCAAGTTCCACGGAGACGGTCTTGCCCTTACCGTATTGGGTCTTAAGGTGGGCCTTCACGTAGTCCTTGAAGTGGGTGTTTTTGTCTGCGGAGGTGTGGAGCAATTGATGAATATGAAAGAAATAGAATGCTAGAATATTAGCTAGACACTCTTCACTGAGGGAGAAATATGCAGGCTTCCCCAAACTGTCTGGCCAAAGTAATGCAGCAAAAAGGATTTTGCCACGGTAATACTATCTATACAGTATTCCAACTCGGCCATATTTTTTTAAATAAATGTCAACAGCCGAGCGGTACGTCATACTATGACAACATGCGATAGGGCTGCCCACCTGCAGACCCTATTTTCACTATCTGCCTACTTAGATTTTCTATCTAGTTTTGTGAGTGTATTTTGTGATTGTAATTTTTTATTTTATTTTGACAAACAAAATACCTTGTGAATGAAATAGGATAAAAAGGCATGTTGTCTTGTCATTAGTAGATTTAACTAAAAAAATAAATATTTGTGTTAAGATTTAGTAACAAATTTTATAAATTTGCGACCGTAAAATGTATGCTCGACCGAGGCGTACAAAATGCTTGATTTATTATACAGAGTGTTGGGTAAATGGTTTTATAAGCAGACACTAGCCCATGTTAACGTGTGCATATAAATGGTATGGTGAAGTCAGAAATTTTATATCAGCATTTTAATAATTTTAATTTTCATACAAATCTGATTTTATAAATTTTATTTTGTATGAAAATTAAAAAAATATATGATATCACTGACTACATCATACCATTTACATACAATGTTAATATGGGCTAGTGTCGGCTTATAAGCCCATTTACCTAACACCCTGTATAAATAGGTACTTTTAATTATTTTTTATAAAAACAACACTTACTGTTTACAAAACAACACATCGTCAGTTTATTACTGTGGCACATTCGCGACACCCCCGACTTTTGCATGTCGAGCGCATACCGAGATTTGAATTTCGAAGGAAAGCTCGCGTTTCGTCCGTTTATATGAAGTTACAATACTGTATGATAGTATTACCGTGATTTTGCCTAGTAAATCAAGAGGGTCCAACGGTTGTGGAAATCACCAATGTGGAGAGTAATGTGGCAAAAGGGATTTTGCCTGGTAAATTAAGATTGTCCAACTGTTGTGGAGATTACCTGATGATGATGATCACACGCTACGCTTGCTGGTGGCATCCAGATCCTGCCAATTGCCACTTCAGTTTGTTATTCGTCGGATCATGTCATCGACTTTAATCGTTTATAGATCTTATTCCCGATTCGATATCATACAAAAACACTGAGCTTTGGCTTCCCCAGTAACCGTGCGTTACAATATAATAAAGACAATAAACAACAACGGCAGGCCTATGTTCAGCAATGGACGCCCTGTAGCTGAAAGGATGATGATGATGATGAAAGACAATAAAAAAGGTGAAGGTCGCGGGAAGCACCTGGGATCGGTCGTTGTGGAAATCCTTGAAGACCTTTGTCCAACAGTGGACGTCATTTGGCTGAAACGAACGAAAAGCAATGAAGTCAAGACACCTACCGTCCTGGTAGACCTCGTAGTTGCCCTCAAGGATGAAGGGGTCGTTGTGCGGGACCACGACCTTGGCCTTGCCGTAGCCCTCCTTCAGGCCGAACTTGCCGTTGGTCTCGATCTTGTACTGCTCGGCGTTCACTTGCACGTACTCCACGATGGTGTACTGGTGGGGAATAAACGGTTTCATTATAAAATGGGTGAAGAAGCAGAAAGATGCAGCTTGTATAGATGGATAATCTTTATTATAAACTGCACAAAACTGACACGAACGAAACACCACTTTTTAATCCCGTATCCAACAAGGCCCCTTATGTTCTAGCTAGTGGTTCTAGTTTTAAGATCATAATGGAAGCAGTACATGAAAAATGGTAGAGTTTTAAAATATAAATGGCACAATTTTAGAAGATCTGCAGCATTTTCCGCCGATTCCTTTTGCTCTGGCGATTTTTTTCGCAGTTGCAATGCCTAGTAGGTCTCAAATAAGCTCACAAAACAAAAAATATATAGTAAGCGTACAGTCAGAGCCAAATAGTTCGTGGTACCCAAAATACACCAATCAAAAAGCTTTATTTGTATCATTACCTCGGTTTCCTTTTTGTCAGACTCCACGAAGAGAACGTTCGAGACGTACTTGATGTCATGCGCCTTCTCGAAAGGCAGACGCACGGTGACGGCAAAGTCTTCGACGTACCTGAAAAAAAAACAAACATTTTAGCAAATTAAATCATGTATTCAGTAACTTGCCCTTTCCAGAGCGCCAACGAGTCCCAACATCAGGTCCCATCTCACTCATTGCGCCTGCCTTGTTCTGTGTAAGAAATCTTTTGCAAATAATACCTACCATAGGGCACTTTATTCAGGCTTTCAGCAGGAATTTTTACTAGGTTTCTTTATCTTACAGGGTATGCATATTTGTTTTATATTAAGCTCCATTTTTATCCAGTTCCCATCTGGGCTAGGATGCGCGCCGTGATATAATTTATCGACTTCAAAATGTATGGGCAAAATCTATAAAATGCCGTGATAGCCGCTTATCGCGGCGCACATCTTAGGTCTACATAGCTCGAATAAACTGAAAACTGAAAATAGACTTGTATTTAAAGATTTATACAAATACTTACTAGCGGCCGTCCGCGACTTCGTACACGTGGTTCCCATTTTACCACCTTAGGGGTGGAGTTTCGTAAAATCCTTTCTTAGCGGATGCCTACGTCATAACATAGCTACATGTCAAATTTCAGCCCGATCCGTCCAGTGGTTTGGGCTGTGCGTTGACAGATCACTATGTCAGTCAGTCAGTCACCTTTGAGTTTTATAATATAGAAAAACCAGCTCACTTGTTACTCAGGACTTGGAAGACATCAGTGACCTCGAAGGCGTAGTCGTTTCCGTAGTTGCCCTTCATCTGCACGTTGTTGTCGTAGAAGGCGGTGGACGTCTGGTTGTACACCACGTTGGTGAACAGCGACGCTGGTTGCGGAATCAGGTTGCCGGTCAAGTCGCTCTGGAAGTTAAAGTCCTTGTTAGATCCCTGCCAATATTATAAATGCGAATGCAACTAGGTATGTCTATAGCTGTTTGTCTGTTACGCTTTCACACCAAAACAACTGAATTGATTTTGATGCAATTTGTGTCCCGGAAAAGGAAATAGGATAGTTTTCATCCCGGTTTATTCAGAAAGAGACGCGTGCGATAACTTTTTTTGTGACAGACAAAATTTCAGGAATAATTTTTACTTTTTTTGCCTTCTTCGTCATTTTCTGTAGACTCTTTGTTGGTGGAAATAGATGTGAATTTTTTTTATTGCGAGATAAATGGAGTCATTAAGGCTGTGTTTCCACCAGAGATGTGCAGGATGCGTAGCGAGGGGTGTGTTTGTTAAGAATCAATAGAATCGTTTCATTTACCAGCCTAAAAGTGGAACTGAAAAATCCGTTTTAATATGGTTGCTGTGAAGTATTACCTTGAAGTAGAAGTTGTATTTGTCGTCCTTAGGGCTGTTCTTGAGAATGAACTGGTTCTGCAGGTTCTTGCCGTTCTTCAGAGCCAGGTCCACCTGTCCTTCGTAGTGGTACAAGCCCTTGTCGACGTCGCTGTTCACAATCTTGCCCTTGTAAGCGATCTTGGAAGCCGCAGCGCCGCGCTTCTCCGCGTCAGCTAAGACCACCTCGATGTTGCCGTTGTATACCTGAACATGGTGGAATTTTTATTGCAAACAATTTAGAAAGTATGATGGCATATTTGGACGGAATTATCGCTAGGAAGCGACTTTTGCAACCTAGGAGAGGACAGTTTGTTTGAAATTAAAAAAGGGGAAGAGAAATAATTTATTTTACACTTTTGTGAAGATAGAAGCCAGGCTCTTTAAAATTGCATTTCTTTATAGTAAATTATTTTTTTAGTAATAATAACATAGGTATAGTTACTATGCTCTGAGCATGAGTTAAATGCTGTTCAAAAATGATATTTTCGAAAAAAGACTGTACCTATTCTATTTAAGCGTGAATAACAGAACCATTATTTAAAAAAATAGCTCCGTAAGTCCCTCGTGGTAAGCTAAATATGCTTGTGTTACGAGTGGGATTCGAATCCGCGTTCCTCGGGTCTCGAGTCGGCCAGTCCGTCCCCTTCACCGTTCAGCTATCGTGGCTTTTAACCCTTATGATATTTGCTATCACAGGGAACACAGGAGACGTAAAACTACGCATATGAAAGAGAAAAGATGTTTTCTGTCAGAAGAACACTCACGTTGTCCTTGGAGGCGATGTCCCTGTCGACCTTCAGGCTCAGGCACCTCTCGGTGGGCAGCACGACCTCCACGTTGGCGTGGGACTTGCCCTCCAGCGAGCCCTCGGCACGGACGTTGACCTCAGCCTTCTTGCCGCCGTACTCCAACTTATTCCTGAAAGGATGATGCGTTAGTTACTGGTGAAGGTGCTGAAGAAACTTCTTTCTTCTTAGCCGATTTTGGATGGGTGGTCTTTTTTTGGAAGAATTTTTTCCAGTCAATTTTGTATGGTACTGGTACTGACTGGCTGATGACGACTTCCAATTTAAGGAACGCTATGTCCAAAATTAAGGAATAATACATTTTACCAACCAGCATTTTTAATAGGTACTCAGTTCCAAACAAATTTGAGTAGTACCACGGTGGCTGGATAGGAATAATATAATCTTACTTTATGCTTATTGTACCTACTACCATTTTCCCATAAAAAGTTCAACCCAATACTATATTTGGCATTGTCATCTCCAAGCCCGATCGTACGGTAGTCATATAAAGGTCTATAGGTAAAGCAATAAAGACAAAGAAGCATTTAACCATAGATTCATCATCATCATTTCAGCCATAGGGCGTCCACTGCTACACATAGGCCTCCCCTAATGACTTGATGACCGGTTGGCAGCGCCTTCCTGTTGCCTTTATGAGGTCGTCGGATAGATTATGAGGTCTCACAGGGCGCGTGGACGCACAGGGTCACACACAAACACAGAGATCTATTCAACGCTGTGCGTTCGATTTGCTGCTTTACTTAAGCACGCATCGTTATTTATTACAGGTATAAAAGTGTCGGTCTTGTTGACGACTTACTTGGTGTCAACAAAGTTGGCGGTGCTCTTGGTGTTGGTGGTGAAGTGGATCTTGTCGTTGTTGTCTTTTTCGAAGTTGAGGAAGATGTCGATGTCTGCGTTGAACACCGGCTCTTTGGCTACGAACTTCACATCGGCCTTGAGTTTGCGTTGAGACTGGAAGATAAAAGTAAGTTAAAACATGACTGGAATTATTCAATATAAACCGATTTGATCACATGACTGATAAGATTAGGTTAATAGGTTTTATGCAGTTAAAAGATGGTTCGTTCACTGATTCCGTCAACCATTCAGCTAAATACACTTCTTAAAAAACAGTTGCATCTCCTCTATCTCAAAGTTTGCAGTGTACACTGGAGGGAAGTCGAACCTTAACTTCAAACTCCTATGTTCTTCTAATTAATTTCGTTGCGCGTCCAATGACAGTAACTTTCTTCCGGGACAATTTTGATCTTCTATGATTGGGTTTTTGTTGGCGGTCAAGCTGTAGATCCTGGCTACGCAGGAGTTGCAGTAGTCCCGTATCTCAAAGTTTGTCTCACATTCAAATGATATTAATTGCAAATTCTTCAGAAATGTTTTCACTCACCTTCTTGAAATCAACAATGATCATTCCGTTGCCCTTGCCGTCTCCGTCGGAGACCTTGAACTGTCCGTTAGCAGCGACCGTGTCCTTCAGGATGAACTTCAGCTGTCCGCTGGCGTTGGCTCCGCGAGTGACCTTCAGAAGGTAGTCCAGGAGATCCCCCTTGGAGTACGTGATCTTGGCGTGCGACGAGTACAGTTTGTTGTTCTCGATCATTCCAACGTCGAATCTATAGAAAAATTGATTTGTAAAGTGTATTTTGCTCTTTGAAAATGTCAGATGTAAAATTTTTTGATTGGATATCACAATTATGATTTAAATCCCCTCAAGTGCTCGGTATTTAGCGCTAAGGTCTACGTGTCGGCTCCCGCCGCAAACGGCATTGCTGTTTCGGGGTCTGGCATTTCAAAAATATAGTCTTATCCTTTTCGAGCGAATGTCTTTGTTTAAGAAAGACAGAGAAAAAATACATTGTAATTTTATTATTAAACTAGTATTATTAAATATTAAGTACTCACTTGATGTCTTCATTCTTTCCACTAGCAGTGACCTTCAGGTGACCGATGGCTCCAATGTTCCTGTCGTTCGGCCTGTTCTTGTGCAGCACAACTCCAGAGAGCTCGTATTTGCCAATATTCTTGATCTGGATGTAGTTTTCGAAGTTAGACTTGTCAGGGTTGATAATATCCCTCTTGGAGAGAACCTCGATGCCTTGTTTGTCAAATTCGGCAGACATCTTAACGTGGTAGTCACCAGGCTTTTTAATCTGGGTCCTTGCCTCGAGTTCTAATCCTGCGTGCTTGTCAAAGTATTGACCCTTGATTCCTACGTCCAGTTTCTTCGGGTCAGCTTCACCATCGACCTGGAGTTTCAGCGGGAGAGCGAGGATTTCAACTGAAAGAAAAGGATACATTAATTTTGGAACATAAGAAGACTTCTTCATATTTTATAGCAATTTTTTGTGTTACGGCGTTTAATTTATTATAACTATCAACTTGTAAAGTAAACAATCAACTAGTAGGTACTCACACTTGTTCTTAGTGATAACGTTGAACTGCTCGGGGCTCTTGTAGTGAGTCTTCAGCAGTTGGTTGAAGATGACGCGGCTGTTGGGGTCACGCAGGTCTCCACCGTATGTGAGGTCGAAGTCATGACGGATCTAAAACACAGGTAAAGTAGAGTAGAGTATAGTCTAGGAACAATAATTAGTAAAAATAATAAGATTTAAACTAATTTCTAAATGTAGGGGTCCAAAACTACATACCAATTCATTTCGAACATATTCCACGTGTCCATTCAATCTGAAGTTAATCACTGGGTTCAAATTGTTCTGGAACTCAGCCTTGAAATCGTGGCCGATTATATTGACTCCCAAGAGGCAGTTGTATTCTCCCTGCTTAGCCTTCAGGTCCAAGTCTATTCCTTGAGGATTGGTGCTCAGGTGTCCATTTACATCGACGGCGTCCTTGGCATTTGGCAGATGGACCTTGACTCCTTGCAGTGTATATTTAGTCGACTGTTGATTGTTTTCCCTGATCACTTCACCGTCAATCTTAAGGGATTTCTTGCCATTTTGTTGCGGCATTTCGTATTCAACGACTGGCCTGAACACACTGCGACGCTCATCGCCTTGAACGCTGAATCCAGCCTTACCGTAATAATTATCATTGTCTAACTTGCCCTTGAGGACGAGAGCATACTCAGAAGGCTTGGTGTACAGAGACACTTGTCCGTGCACCTTCTTAATAGGGGAATCCAGAGACAAGATGACAGTCTTTTCGTGTAGGTTGGCTACGAGCTCTCCGGTGATTTGGGTGCGGCGGTTCTTCGATCCTTCAGCTTCGAACAGAAGTTCAAAGTTGCGTCTGTCATTGGTCACGCGGTAAACTCCTTTGACGTGGTATCCACGGAGATCGTTCTTTTCCAGCACCAACTTGACCTTTGAGACTCCAGTCAGAGGGTAGCGAGAGAAGAAGCTGGAGATGGAAGCTTGGGCATCAGGTCCTACAACGAAAAAAATTACATCAATTGTATCAAAATGTGTATCAGAATTGATAAAAAGCAATAGGCACACAATGTTTTTTGCAAAGTGAATTTTGGTACCTACACTAGGCGAGCCTGTCTCGTGAAGACCGCCTTTAGCTTCTTCGAAAAGCATTAACTAGTGGGGTATATTACTTAGTAGGTAACTAAGTATTATTAAATAATTACTAACCAGAAATTGAGAATGGCACAGATAGTTCTCCACACAGCGTCAGGCCCAGGAGACCAGACAGCTGGTCGAAGCATCCAGAGTAGTCCTTCCTTTCAGCGCCAGTCTTCAAAGCGACGTGTGTCTCGGGCTGTCCTTTCTCAGCAGTGAAGTACACCAAGTCGTGAGACGCAGTGAGGATCTCCTGCTTCTCAATGGGCAAGCCAAGTTGGAGGTCAAAACCGTTGCCATTTTCTAAGACTTGAGCGATGACGTGGGCGCCAGTCGAGGAGTGGAGGTTGGTGACGACTTTGAGACCGGTGGAAACAACGTCAGCATCGATTTGGAGGATTCCGGCGATTTCGATGTCAGAGCTTGGCACGAGTTTGATGTCGACCTTGGCGTTCTGGGGGGACTTGAGGATCTGGCGGACGTCGACGTTGGCGCCGATGTCGACGCGGGCGGTGGCTGCTCCGACAAGGTTAAGTTTCAGAGGGAAACCGGTGGAGGTGGGGTACGTCAGTTGGGCGTCAAGGAACAGAAGATGAGAGCGGAGTTCGTGCTGGAAAAAAAAAAGTAAATGAGTGAGAAAGATAGCTAAAGATGAAAAATTGAATTTGTTTTACGACTATTTTGTTCAAGTTTTAAACATATAGGTAAGCCTTGTTACCTGGAAGTTCTTCAACTTATTCAAAACTCCATCTCCGAATTGCAGCTGTTTTTGGATGAACTGGTGGAAGTCGAAGCTCTTGTCGTCTCCGAAGGAGAGGTATAAAGCATCAGTTCCGAACAGCTTCAGGTATACGTCCAGCTCCAGCTCATTGTTGTAGGGTTCAGCCTCTTCTTTCAACTGAAAGGAAAACAATCATGAAAAATCTGAATTTGTACCAGTTTGTCCGGTAAAATGTTTGCCACAATATTTAGCTTGATGACAGTCAAGTCAGAACATCTCAAGTCAGTAGTTTCAGGCCAGTTCGGTGTTCGTGGAAGACCAGCGTCTTGACGAGCTCCTTGCGAACATATCACAATAAATGCTGAATTTCTATAAAACTTACGTGTTTGTCAAAGTTGTCGACGTCAACCTTGACCGAGCGGCGGCCTCTGGACAGGTGAGCTTGGGTTTCCTTCTTGGTGTCGTCGTAGGTCTTTTTGAGCTCGTCGTAGATGTCCTGGGGCTTCTTGGTGCGGAAGATGCTCCTCGGGCCGAAGATGTGCTCAGCGACGCGGTCGAGGTTGCCTTGACGACCTCCAACCTATGAAAATCATACTCCAGATTAGTCTACTTATAGGAGTTACAATTTATTTGCTTTAACTCCTATACAGTCTGTATTTTAATAGACTGATTATAATTCTCTGATCACTACCCCATAAATCCTAGGGATTGGAATTAATGTGATGGACAGATGGACCATGACTCTTTTCTATATATACATATTTAGTCGACTGTTGACTGCTTTGACTGAATTAACCTTATCCAAATAGATGATAGGAATTTTGAAAGAATGCTGTTCAAACTGTTCGACAATTTATTTACCTCAAGGACATTCAGGCTGTGTCCGAAGAGTTCAGCAGTCAGGTTCAGGCTGGCAGACCTTGGCAGGAAGGAGTCCTGCGAGTAGATGACGGTCTCCTCCACGTTGCCTCCCAGGCCGAGGGCGTCCACGTTGAAGGAAGCCTCGCGGTAGAAGGAGTATTTCCTGGGAAAAAAATATGTTTAATTCCAAGAAAATGTTTCGCTGGTTGCTTTACCTATGTTTGTCGATTGTTTTGTGACCTTAGCTGCAGTAATTGGCTAGCTCAGTTTTCTTTAAATGCAAGAAATCGGTGATGGTTTTAGGGTTGCAGAGGTTTATTCTTTCGACATAGAAATGATGGAGTTGATTTCAATGTGGAACACTAAAGGTGACCTAATAAAGTCTGGCACTCTAGGGTTGTAAGTGACTTCAGCATTTACCATCCAAGAAAATAATGATATCAGAGTTAGAAAAAGTCTAAAAGAAAAGGAACGATTACAAGATCTCAGAAAGGAGAGGAAGGCGTTGGACGCCAACCAACCGATCATTATCGAAATCATTGTGGAAGGCCTATGTTCAGCAATGAACGTCCTGTGGCTGAAATGATTATGATGATGATTATACCTAAGATTAGTCCTGTGGTCCACTCGGTCGTCTTACCTGTCGTCAACGTTGAACTTCGTGGGTGGACGGATGAGTCCGTAGTGGAGCTGCGCGAGTTTCTTGTCGGGGTTGGTGGACGCACGGATGTGGCGGATGGACGTGCTGATGAAACGGCCGACTGGAAAGAGACAAAAGAAACATAAATAAATACTAAGAAAATTTTTAAATAACCCTGATCTGCGGAAATTGACCTCGTCTTCTTATCAACTAGAAAAGATCTTGAAAATGCTGTACTAGAGGTAAGTAGGTGTAATTTCGATTACATAATCTTTTAATTTGAAAAATAACCGCATCAATATCTATCGGTCAGCTACACAGCCACAGATAGACACGTCAAATTTATAACACACCTCTTTTGCGTCGTTATAAAATGAGACACAATAATTGCAAAATCCAGACCTTTGCTGGTCTAGTCTTGATATCTTCAGGGATGTAACTCCTTTTTAGTTTACAACAAAGTACGGTCGACCGCATCAGACTGGACATTTTGTGGCAACATAGAGCATACAACTACACAAGATGCCATAGTGATTAGTTTATGTACAAACCTTGGTGCACTGGCTCGGATTCCAAGAGCTTGCTGATCTCGTTGGCTGATCCTCCGCAGGGGCAGCCGATGACGGCGAGATACGCCTTGATCCTGATCTCGGAGTCCAGCTGGCGATTCTTCATTATGTCCAGGGCAGACTTCTTGAGCTGTTGGAAAATAAATGTTAGAGGAACGTTTTTAATACTGAGGCTTTAGCTGATGTGGTAGTAATGCATAATGGCTGCCGATTTTATTTTACTCTCGCAATTATTTCAAAGGAGAATGAACACGAGCGTTTTAAGCTTGGAGTTTTGTCCGCGGCTTTGCTTGCGTACTTTTTGGTCTACAATAGAAAGGTACTTCACGTGAATTCCCGTGTTAAAAGCTATCTTATGAGGAACCATTTATTTACGGATCATATTAAGCTTTCAAGTAATCGGAGGCCCTTCTGAATAAATAAAAGTACTTATTCAAAAACGATCATTTCTTTCTAAGTTTGATCCAAGAAGAACAGCAAAAGATTAAGGTCCAAAAGGACAATAAATATTTTCTATTTCTTTTTTAGCCAATACAGAACCTTTCCTTTTGGTTTTATATTTGACCAGGAAAACCTACGTGATATTATTCTTACCTTAGCAGAGCAAGGGTCAGCGAGGTAGGCCTCGAGAGCAGCGACCCTGACGCGCGGCTTGACGCCGGCGTCGGAGGCGCAGCGCACCACCTTGTCGATCAAGCTGTCCTCCAGGTGGCGGATGTTGCGGATGCCCTTCAGGATGAACACGGCCTGGAAGAGGATGAGGGGTCAGAAGTTGTACAGCCTTAATAGTAGACAGATTTGAAATTTGGAGCAGTCTTAAAAGGCTGCTTTTTGGGGTAGCATGGGCTATGGGACTATTCCCACTTCTTGTTCCCACCGCTGCAACTCCTGTGTAGCCAGGATACAAATAAAAACTCAATCAATGAATGTCAAGTTTGTCCCGGTTGGCATGGGTTAGTTCTTTAGTATGAGGAAAACATAATTTACGAAAATTTCAAATGATATTAACTAAGAATCAATACAAAGTCTTTATTGCTAAAAATGCTGGAAGTTAGGATACCGACCCAACCATTTATGTACTGATACATCAGTTTGTTGATAGATGTCAACAGTTAATCTCTAGTTGAAGTTGTAGCCCGCAAAAAAGATGCTACAAGAAAGTTTAATATAAATGATGCAGTAAGAACAACAAACCTCGTCCAAGATACCACAAGAAAGTGGGAACTAAATGATGCAGTAAGAGCAACAAACCTCATCCTCAGCAGCCTTGTCCTTGGCCCTGCAGTTGAGCTTGGCGCCGAACTTCTGGCTGAGCTCGGCGACGCCGCTGGACTTCCCGGAGTGACAGTCGTGGTTGCGGCAGTACACGCCGGCCAGTGCTCCCAGGCCGATGTACACCTTCTTGTTGGATTGCGGACGGTCGATGAGGCTCTGAAGGAAGAAACGCGGTTATTTTGATGACTTCAATATTAAGTTGCAGATTTGGGTAGGTAGTTTCCGATACATTCAAATTCTTTATAATTATGTGGGATTTTTCAGGGCACTTATACACGTCCCAAATATAGCTTGCTCTACCAATAGTTGGGACAACTAGCTGGTGCTGTTATGGATAAAATAATTTGTGAGAAATCACTTCCATTATAATACACGATGCCACAGTTAATGAATTTATGTCTATGTGAACTTCTTTACGAAAACTTTAACAACATAATGAGAAGCGTCTTAGTCACTGCATTGAACGATTGCAATTTGTAAAACTTACTCGACTGGTATTATACTACTCCACAATAATTATACCTATCAATTCATGGCATAGTTGTTTTGCAAGGTGGCAAGGCTAGACAGCATAAAAAAACTCGTAAAACACATAATTTTTGCAAGTACCTAGCTTTTTAAAGAAAAATTGAACTTACAGCAGCAGCCTTGACAGCTTCGTTGTTGACGTGTCTCGCTCCAGCGAGGGTGAGGTAGAACACCTCCTCCTCCAGGTTGGACAGCTGGCCCTGCTTCAGGATGTTGACGGACGCCTCAACGCTGGCCCCGGAGCCCGCGCGGAACAAACCGTCCAGGAAGACGCGCCTGGAGAAGAAGTAGTTTATGCAGTTTGAAGAAGTAAGAACATCATGGAAGAAGAAGCCCCTTCATTCTACTCCAGAAATGGTCGACTAATTCCAGACTTATGTAGTGCTAATAGAAACTCTTACAAACATAAATTTGATTTGCTCTTGAACTAATTCTTCATCTGAACACTGCAGTGCAGTAATTATGAATTTGCAAGAGTTAAATTAAATAACATAGAGAAGGCATTTAGGAAACTACAGTTTTTACACATTTGGAAAACTTAATAAATAGGTACGTACTTTTCAACATTGTTGCCCTTGACTTGGTTGAACACCTTCAGTAAGTCGTCTTTATTAGCGGAACGCATGATCTGAAAGGAAAAAATCATAGATTAAATACCAGTTTTTTGTTTGCACCAAGCTGGTAATGACGAAGAATACTTTAGCAAGTAGCGCAAAGTTATGAAGAAAGTTGATGATTTTGTTGAAAAGTTAAAGTGAACCCCAATGAATTGAAAAAACTGTCCAGCACTTAGACCGAACTTAGGCCAGCTCCTCATTGATAACGGCAATGAGAAGATTTGAATTAGTTGTAAGACCTACCCTAATGAGCTGAGCGAACTGTCCAGCCGACTTGGAGCTGGCCTCGCTGGCGACGGCCTTGGCGGTGTCTCTGACGGCGGCGTGCACGGCGTTGGCGTTGCTTTTGCCGGCCTCCTCGTGCGGCGTCTCGAACATTATGGTGCGGCGCTGCGAGCATTTGGGGTCTGGAATGGAAGAGTCACCATGAAGCAACACATTTTGTAAGCTGTGTCAGCTTTGGTTCTGACAAATGTCATGGTATCGATGGAAGAAACCCAATCTTTTCAGGCCGTTCCAGTTCTAATTTTTTCATTTCTTGAAAGACGTTGCAAGGGGTATCTCCATGCTACTGGTCGTACACAAACGACTGTACAGGAGGTTGTCGTTATGTTATGGACTGTACATGTCCTGTCCAGTAGTTGCTAATCCGTCCACCAGAGAATCTGTCCAGTTGGGAATCTGTCCACTTGCTATGGAGGGAACTATCTATAGGTGATGGTAACCAATGTGTCTACATGTTAATTTATGATTGTAAATTGATCTAAAGTTAATTTTGTGTGCTTTATGAACCTCCGGATCGAAAGAGTTCAATTTCGATAAATTACGAAGTGGACTTTACTTTTTAAATTACTTCAGCTAAAGTGAAATTTCAACTTACTGAGTGAGCCCTTGTGAGCAGCAGTGTTGGTGAGGGTCAGTTTGGTGTGGACCTTCGCTCTGGCGCCGTTCTCTCCGACGGAGAAGGGCTTGTAGAGGTACTCCTCGATGGCAGCCACCTTCTCCGGGACTGTGTCCGTGACCTTGGACTCCACGTTCAGGGTCGAGTGGAGGACTTGCGTGCTCGTGATTTCCTGGTGGATAGAGGTACATTAATGTCAATGTCAATGTTAATGTCACACCGCTATTATGATGCTGGTAAAATTCCTATAAACCTAATACACTACCTNCTACTAACTGTTACTAAAAAACATTCATTAACACCCTACAACCCGGCACTCCAAACCAGCAAACGACGAGCTGATATCGTGTGTTCTACTGAACAAATCAGAAGATCACATACGATGAAATTCTTCTGTTATCTAGGTAGCTTATTGTACAATAGAATAAACCAGTCTCTATGTATTTACCCTATGAATAAAGTCGCATGCAAAAAAATCATACAAGATTGGCTAAAAAATGGCTAAAAACCTATGACGAAACTGAAAACCTGTTACAGATTTTAACTTAATTTAGATCAAGGTAAAAATAATGCTTAGTAATTAAGAATAGAAAAGTATTTATATTTAGTTACACACTGTTATTGTGATAATGTTTAGTATGCACTAACCTACTTTTAATAAAATACCTAAGACACAGGCAAACAATTTTGCTTAGTTTAGGTATTAATAATTTTACCTTCGCACACTAACCTTAATTTAAGTAAGTGAAATCAAATGTATCTAGGCTAAGTTTTATTAAGTAATAAATTTATTCTTATTTATTCTTATTCTTATTATTTATTCTTATTCTTATCTTACGGAATGACTGTTTACCACATAAAGCACGTAAAGCATAGTGTATAGTGAAATTTCCGTAGACAGTAAACGCTTTATATTGTTCTGAAAATGCGAGCCTATTAATCTCTTGCCTGGGATTTGTGTTTGTATGTTAAACAACTTTGAGTATAGAATTAGTCATTAGTTTTTTAGCTTAATCTTCATTCTCCATTACCTTAATTGCTTATTGATCTAAAATGTGGTTGTATGTGCCTTTCCAGGTCATGGCAAGACTCATAAGGATGCAGCGAGCGTGCGGGCCACGCACCCTATCCCGGCGTCGTGTGGGCTCTATTACTTCGAGGTCCGCATCGTGTCCAAAGGCCGCGACGGCTACATGGGCATCGGGCTCTCCGCTCACGGCGTCAATATGAACCGCTTACCTGGTAAGATTATCTTAATCACATCACTCGATTGGAGCTGGACATAGGCCTCTGTCGACTCGTCACAGCTCTGTAGACTTCCTCATCTAGAGTCAGCCACTGACTCAAAAAAATCATCGATAAAATGTTGTGATTCTCCATCCAAGATTGTGTCTGCCTCAGTAACCATTGCTGAAATTCCGTAATTGAGTATTTACGACTAGTGCAATCGGGTAATGTATGATTCACTTAAAGTTTCATTAAAATTAGTTGTTAATATGAGAGCTTCAAAGGATTAGAGCTTTTTATACGAAGGCTACCTACATATTTGCTTGTCCACTTCCTGTATGCCATGAATACTAATTTATTATAAGTATTGATTGACCTTCGGGACAATCCTTCTTGTAAGTAACATGTCCCAAACACTGTTGACACACATGCCCTGTTTGTGTCAATTCGTCTGTTCCTGTATTTACGCCTCATACATCGTCAACATGGCATCTGGCAATAAATAAGGCAAGTTCAATAGCAAAGGGCGCATGTTAATGGGCCGCATTGTGTGCGACCGCGAGCCTTTGTTCACATGTACAGAATAGGTAGGGAATCACATTGTGACATTGTCTTTGTTGCTAAGTAGAATCGTGCTCATTTAGAACTGAGTTGGATATTAATTTAATTACAACAATATTAGTTAACCAAAGCATTGACCTAAATCAAATATACATACCAAACCTATTCACTCGTAATCCTTGTCATGTCTCGTAATGGATTTCAAAGGGCTATTTCATTTATTTCATTATGTCACTTCAGAGTCTGTACATACTTATGATAGAACTATTTGTGGACGCAAGGATTTCTCCGACATTAGATTAATAATGATGATAAACTATATGACTCCATCACCAGACATAAAAGCTTTTCAGAATTCGCCGTAAATGGCGAAGCGTTAAGTTCAACGTATTGCGCTGTCTGATGTATTGAAAGAGGTCTATGTCCAGCAGCGCACATCTTTAGCCCGTGCTGACGGTGCGTCACTGATCGAAGGCTCCCCGTTTCCAGGCTGGGACAAGCATTCGTACGGGTACCACGGCGACGACGGCCACTCCTTCTGCTCGTCCGGCACGGGCCAGCCGTACGGGCCCACCTTCACCACCGGCGACGTCATCGGCTGCGGAGTCAACCTCGTAGACAACACCTGCTTCTACACGAAGAACGGGCACCATCTAGGCATCGCGTTTCGTGGCTTGCCGGTATGGATTTTTTTTATTTGTTCTTGCTGAAACAGGCTAATATCAAGGACCATGCTGTCTAGTCATTAGTAGCCGAGCATGCATATATAAAGTTCTAAAAAAAAATCTGTGTCGAAAATAGATTGAAAGAAAGCGTTAAACATATTTTAAATAGTCTGATTGTCATTACAAACATCGTTATCGAGTTTGATAGTGAGTCTTGTCACAGAATAATAATAAGTACTACCAAGCCTGTTCATTCGTTTACGCGGTACAGCGCGCGAGAGCCACCGGTGGCTGTGAGTGCTGTGACCCGTTTGCGCCGAGCTTTCTAAAAAGTATGTGTGGCGTCAATTAGGTACCCTGTTGTATTGCAAGTTGTAGTTGTATCACAAAATAATAATAAGTACTACGTACAGAAGTTTTACTCCGCGAAGGTATTTAAAAAAATGTATGCTCAATGTCATTAACAATATGGTGTAATTTAGCCTGTCTCAAGAGTCAAGCACCATTTTGTTGACAAACGTCAGTGGTCAGTACTGCGCCGAAGCTATAGGGCTGACTTCGGTAAAATGATGTGACGTGAGGTGCCAAACTGCAGAAAATGGCGGAGGAAATACATGATTTAGCATAAATTATCATGAATAATATTAACCACTTATTTACCTCTCAGTGTCTTCAGGCAACTTAAAAAAGTATTTTCTGTGTTTTTATTATTATTTAGGCAGTTAGATACTGCACAGTATTTAGTACACCATTTTCTTTATTTTCTTCCATCATACACAAGAATACGCGTGCGTGAGTCAATGTTCGCTCGTATGTGAGGCCTTGTCGAATAGTAATCCTGTAGGGGGGCATCGTGCGTGTTTTGTTTTCTATGTAAACTCGCGGAGATGAACAGGCCTGGTTGTATTATAAAGTTAAAGATGTTAATGAATGTTTTGTTTGCGTGGCAGCCGAACCTGTACCCGACGGTGGGGCTGCAGACGCCCGGCGAGGTGGTGGACGCGAACTTCGGGCAGCAGCCCTTCGTGTTCGACATCGAGGACATGCTGCGCGAACTGCGCGCGCGCACCCGCCTCGCCATCGACGACTTCCCGCTGCCCGACGAGGCGCGCTGGCAGCAGGTGCTGCACAGGTACGACGAGCTGGAGAAAGCACCTGTAGTCTGGTCTGTGACTCACCGCGAGCGCCCGTCGCGCAGTCGCGACAGCAATATAATTACGCGGAGCGATAAGGATGGGTAGCTTGGGGTCATTGGACAAAATTCTACGTGCTCACAGACCGGGCTTTAGATGGCTGTCTAAATAAACTCCGACAAACCTTACTGTTTGCATTATAAGAGTCATCGAAACGCTTAGTGCAAGCTGGTGGAATGTTAACAATATAGGGATGGTACGCTAACCTGCGTCTGGTTCCCCGACGATATGGGATGATGATGATGTTACTGCGTCAAATGACGTAACATAAAAGTGTTGAAGTAACATTTGTCGGGAGTTTATTTAGGTAGCTCACATGGATGCGCATAGCACGGCATGATGGCAGGGCACACTGATTAAGTAGCAAGGTTCTGGAGTGGAGGCCACGTACCGAAAAACGCAGTGTGGGACGTCTACCCACAAGGTGGATCGACGAACTCATAAAGGCCGTAGCAGGAAGGCGCTATAAGCCAATTGGGTGAGACCTATGAACATTTCAGCAGTTACGACCTGTAGCTGAAGTGATGATGATAATGCCTGGATACGGGCAGCGCAAGATTGACCGTTGTTCAAATCCAGTTGTCCAGCAGTGGACGGCATTTGCACGAACACGACCCTTCTCTTATTCGTCGCTGGCAGTTGGAAGATTTGATCTATACCTTCACACCGTCCAGACTGATTGATTGATGTTCACACATTTATTCCTGTGTCGCCTCTTACGGCATCCACGGGAAGAGTGAGGGTGGTCAACTGTTATTTCATAAACTAATGAAGGGTATGTATGTGTGTCTTCCAGGATGGTGTCGTCGTACCTGGTGCACCACGGCTACTGCGGCACGGCGCAGGCGTTCGCGCGCGCCACCGCACAGCCCATCGTCGAGGACATCGCCTCCATCAAGAACAGGCAGCGTGAGTGCGCTCCACACCATTATACCACTACCACCAGTGGCGGCGTAGCATGGGTTGGCACCCGGGGCGATCACCCTCCCTCATAAGTCCTAAGGTACCCCCTGGTACCCCGCAGGATTTTGGGGTTAATAATAATAATAATACGTGCTCAATAGTACGGCGCTTCTTAAACCCATCCACGCTTACACTACAAACCTCCTAAGACATCAAATGAACCAGGATACTTGGCATAAGCCCGTACCTGTTTCATTACTGCCGACTACGGTCGAGATCAAAATTCTTTTGAAAAAATAATAATAATAGCTTTATTTCTATTATTATATGGTTACCTACCGATTCGAAGATTGAAAGATAATATCGCACCCCCCCTTCCCCCCGTATCATGACATAGACCCGCAGTCTTGCCATGCAGATGCGTCAGTGAGTACTAATCTGCGCGACTTGTGTCACCCCCTGATGCTTGGCACCCGGGGCGGACCGCCCCCACCGCCCCCCCCTTACGCCGCTACTGACTACCACTCAACTATAGCGATGGGCGATTGTTCGAAAAAAAAAATCGAATCGACAATCGACCAATCGAATTTTCGATTGTCAATTTAGTAATTCGAAAAAAAAAAAAACGAATAATAATCGACAATCGAATGATAAATCTATTTACTTGTCTTCACGCGACGATTCATTCGTTATAGTAGATAGTACTGTGCGGCGCGCGCTCACAGGACCGCAGCGAACGAATCATGTTATTCGTTAGTAATACGGCGCGCGTCGATTACCTAATTTACGCGTCGATTAATCGAATGACTGCGATTGTTTATCGAATACATTAGATTATAGAGACCATTCGAATAATTTGATTAATTTAGTAATAATCGCCCATCGCTACTCAACTATCTTGCTCTATCTCAGCCATCAGCCTTGGCCGCTGAGGCAGAAACGTTCTTGAGTGGCGACCACGCGTCGGAAGACGTAGTGTGGGCAGGCCTCCCACTAGGTGTACTGACTGACTGTGAAGGTCGCGGGAAGTACCTGGATGCGGGCAGCTTAGGACTACTGGTCATTGTGGAAATCCTTGGGGGAGGCATTTGTCTAGCAGTGAACGTCATTTGGCTAAAACGAACGAATGAATTTCAGCAAAATGACCTGTTTGTAACTGATGCCGGTTCGACAGGTTATGTAAAAACCAATAAAAACCTGGCATGTTCCCTCTGTTCACGTTCGCCTTGGGTACTATAGTCTGGTCTGCGAGCACGTAGAATTTTGTCCAATGACCCCAAGCTACCCATCCTTATCGCTCGCTAGTAATTATATTGCTGTCGCGTTCGCACACTCACTGCGGGCGCCCGTCGCACAGTCGCGACAGCAATGTAATTACGTCCGAGCGTCATTCAGCAGCCAATCACTCAGCTTGGGGTCATTGGAAGAAATTCTACGTGCTCACAGACCGGGCTATAGAAACGACCAGACGCCTTCCGCGGACGTCCCTGTACGACGTAGCTATTAGGTAACTCAAAACGGCACGGTGCCGTGACGACCGGTAGCGCCATCATGGTGTCCTTAGGGCCTCCGCTAAAACTCATGCGGGTGCTCACACACGTGGCTGTACCCAAAAATAAGCATGATCAGGTTTCTTGAGGACTATTGTTGAGTGCCTAGCCTAATTGAAATTGAAAAAAAATATTGTCAGACCGGGGTCCATAATCGTGTTAGTAACAATTTTCACTTAGCCTAATGCATCCATCATATTGCAGGGGTGTCCAAACTGGTGCTGGCGGGGCGCATCGGCGAGGCCATCGAGCTGACGCGGCGGCTGTACCCCGGCCTGCTGGAGCGCGACCAGGACCTGCTGTTCCTGCTCAAGTGCCGCCAGTTCGTCGAGATGGTCAACGGCTCGGACTCCGAGGTATAAATCACTGCAAAAATTATGACTGAGTGTCAGTTAAGAACGACGCGACTGAATCGCCTGAACGTTCTCTTTTTTTTTAAGGTTTGTCGAGACATCAAGATTCTAGTCAGGAATAACACTCAATTGTTAAACGAGACCAAAAAAGTCATTATTTACGTTGTTGACATGATTTAAAGTTATTTTAGGTAATTGATGTATTTGACGTGCTGTGCCACAAGTTTTAATTCTATCTAAGCTCGTCTAATAGCATCAGTTTAATACTTATATTAGAAAAGAGAAGTGAGGTCAAATACTATAGTTCATCTGTCTGGCACCGTAACTGCCAGCCTATTATCATCTCAAATGTAATCAGTCGGACTGGCCGACTCGACAACCGAGGAACGCGGGTTCGAACCCCGCCGTTCGTTGACTATTGTGGTGAGTCCACTCGTAATACAAGCATTTATTTAGCTCACCATGTGGAGCTAACGGGACTTAGTAATTGGCACAGTTTATTCTCACCACTTGTTTTAATAGCCTACATATTATGTGTTTTTTTTTTGTATTGTGTCTTTTTTTTACTGTGTCAATAAACCTTTTCTATTCTATTCTATTCTATTCTAATTTGTGCAATGCTAAATATGTGTAGCTGCTTAGAGTCGTGTTTCGTTTGGCAGGTGAGCGGGCTGGCGCGCTGCGTGGCGGGCGCGGCGGGCGCGGGCGCGGGCTGCGGCTGCGGCGCCACCGTCATCGCGCACACCGGCCGCCCGCCCGCCACCAACGGTAACTACTCGCTACTATTCTTATTGATTGCCTAAAGGTTCAGCCAAACTAACGCGCACAGCGTGCGTGATGGCGATGGCAAACAGTATAAATCACTAAGATCGCCATCGCGCTCGCCGGCTGCACGCGTTAGTTTGGCCGAACCTTAATGTTATTATTACACAATTTGTTGTGCATTAATAAACTAGATGTAGTTCCCAAACTAGGCAAAATTACTATTTTGGCTCTAAAGAATATAGTATAAAGAAGGAAGCTACTGCTCGTTGGATCGACGTCGAATAACCTTGAATTACAAATTAAAACCTCTTTTGCTAGTCATTCCATAATGATATCAATAATTTACATTTATAATATTATGAAATAATGAAATATTTAAACTTAAGAAGACCTTAAAAAGACAGCTGCTGAATGGCTGCATGAAAAATACAGGAAGTCGTGCTTTGTATCGTTCTTTGGGAGAGGCTAGCGTCCAGTAGTAAACTGCATATAATGATGATACATAGTAATTGTTTTAATACATAGTTAACACGTCGTCAATGAATGGTTCCAGGTGTACAGGGTAGCACGTCAGAGGAGCACACAACAAATTGTGACGTAGACATGCCGCCTGCGCCGCACGCCACCAACGGCGCTCACGCAGGTAACGTAGCGCGCCACACCTATGCACACAAACAAGTTCTAAACACACACAACGAAATAATCACACATACAGGGTTAGTTAACTTATTGGATTATAGAGCAAGATTGTTTAGCGCTAACCTTGGCTAAAAAGAACAATAATGCATACAATACTGTTATCATTGTTATCATCAATCAACAACAGCCGTTTACAGTCCACTGCTGGACTATGAGCCTCCTCCACTATAGTGGAGGGTTTTGCCATAATCTCCACGCTTGGCAGGCGGGTTGGAGATCGCAGTTTAAAAGATTGATGTTTTTCAGAGAGCGCTGCTGCCCGTTCTCTGTTTGATGTGTAGTCCCTAAGTCGCCTCTTACGACACCCGCGGGAAGAGTATGGGGTTGGTGACAAATGTATTCTACTCTGCCGTCACCATACTGTTATACTATGGGATAACCACTGATTACTTTGGGCAGCTGGAATCTCCAATCAATTTCACACACATAAAATTGAAAAGATAGTTGTGACACTACTTTAACTTACCCTGTATTTTTATTACATTTACCGCTTGCCAGTGTAACGGTTAGTGATTATTTTTTAAGTAAGGATAATATAAAAGGAAATGTTGGGTTCGACTCCCGAAAAAAGAATCTGTAAAATCAAATTACTACTATCGAGTTTTGAATTGCTTACAGAATATTATTTTTCAATATTGAATTATTATATTCATAAATTGGCAATTACATATGAAATATTATATTTTTACAAATTAAATTCTTTACACATTGATATTAATTGTATGTAATATTGAACGTTATTGTTTAATGTTTATGTATTATTTGCACACCATGCCATACATTATTTGGGATTCTAATTCTAATCAGCCTCAGTTCAACACATTTTATGATTTATAACCATTATATTTATTATTTGCTCGTTGCTTTTTAGTTTATGCATGATTCTAGTATCTTACTTCATGGACGTAGATTTTGAAATATGTATTTACAAAAATCAGCAGTTCTATTTTAGAAGGGGTGTACTAATTGTATAAATTATATCTATTGGCATATGTATGATATTGATTACGCTTTACGTATTGCAAAATCGAATGAGATCCTTATGCCATCCCTTCCCTGGTCTAACAAGTACGTAACTAGTAACAGATGCAAGTGTACGCCTAGTAAAGGCAGGGTTTGAACGTCCGTTGCAGGAATCCTGCCTTTAATGGAACCTAGTTATCGAGTGAACCCGGTTGGCTAACGGTAGTGCTGTCGTCACTAACATAGGGCGCATGCGTGGTAGTTCCTTCTCGCTTGTTATCCACCGCTCATGTCCGCACGCGATCACTCGACCGCACCGTAGATTAAATACAGGCCTATTACAGATATTGTGTCGTCCTTTCAATAGTATCAAACTACATAATTATGTCCATTCTGTTGTCCAGTTTACTAAATAAATATATCTTTTTCTTTTTAGTAAATAAAACGATCCCTACATGTCTGTATTAGGCCGCCGACAAGACCGCGATTGCGGTCGACTAGTGTACGTTAGCGCGCCCGCTTGCGCTTAAGGTACGGCGTTGTGTCCGTCACAGCAGTTACGTGGTCGTCACGCGATTTTACTTGGATTCTTCGTAAATTATTCATAAATTGTTACCCTGCTGCATGATTGCGGTCTACGTTTACCTTTGATCATTAAGGAAATATGAATTAAAATACTTCGTCCTTGCACGTGTTATACACGTAAAATATTACATAAAGCCTGTCTATTTCTGAAAATTATGAACTGTTTTTACCGGTAAATATTTCAAAATAACCGAAGTTTTGAATTATAATGTACAATATAATGAAAGGTTCTCTTTTGAATAAGAAAGTGCTGTAAATAATGTAGAAATTAATAACGCACTTATGTAATAAATGTATCAAATATGATATCCAATCTTTAGAAACGCCACGAAGCAGAATTTTAGAATCCCTGAAATATTTTTCCTATATGGTCCGGTATAACCGTCAAAGTAGTTCGCAATTGAGCAAAGCAGGGCCGTGACTTACTCAAATCATAACCGCAAGCAACGTGACGGCCACGTGCTGACGTGACGCAACAGGCGGAGCGGCGTGTGACGTGGCGTGCTTGTAGGGACGGTGCTCAAGGGCATGCCCGGCGTCACCGCCAGCGTGGCCGCGCTGCTGCCCTTCCCAGGTATGCTCGAGACTCCAACAGACCACAGACAAGCATCATTCCCTTTACTAAAGCCTGGTCCGTGAGCACGTAGAATTTTGTCCAATGACCCCAAGCTACCCATCCTTATCTCACTGCGGGCGCGCGTCGCACAGTCGCGACAGCAATATAATTACGCGCGAGCGATAAGGATGGGTAGCTTAATAGGGTCATTGGACAAAATTCTACGTGCTCACCTCCTACTTGNCCTACTGGCTTTACCTCCTTTCTTTCCATTTTGTGACACCTTTTGACATCAGCAATCGCGTCAGTGTTCAATCTTATCGATGTCTTTCACCTCCTCACCATTATAATTAATCGTACTAAAGCCTGGTCCGTGAGCACGTAGAATCCCGTCCAATGACCCCCAGCTGCCCATCCTTGTCGCTCGCACGTAATTATGTTGCTGTCGCGCTCGCACACTCACTGCGGGCGCGCGTCTCACAGTCGCAACAGCAATATAATGAGGGCTATCGTTTTTATACTTAACAGTTGGCACCCCTGGCGATTGAGAGGACCTTACTCTACAGTGGCGCCATCTTGATGAGTGCAAATGCGATGATCCTCCTACCACTTTAGCGCTCACCAGTTGGTGCCATTGTCTTCGCTACTAGCAAGTGACAGGACCTTACTCTACAGTGGCGCTAACTGGTGAGCGCTAAAACGATAGCCCTCATTACGCGCGAGCGATAAGGATGGGTAGCTTAATAGGGTCATTGGACAAAATTCTACGTGCTCACGGACCAGGCTTTACTTTACCTCCTTTCTTTCCATTGTGTGACACCTTCTGACATCACTAATCGCGTCAGTGTTCAGTCTTATCGATGTTTTTCACCTCCTTTTCACCATTATCATTAACCGTACTAGGCCCACTCATTTTCAACGCCCTCCTCTAAAACCACTGACTCAGTGTCATTGATATGTCAAAATTCCTGCAGCCCATACTAGTTCTATTCTTTTCATCATCTTTATAATTTCATATCTAATAATGTGAAATTTTAATAGTCTACAAAACTGAAATTCTAATTCAACTAAAATTCGCTATCCCAATTTGACACTAAAGTTTCAACCATGCAATGAGAAGTTACATTGACACCCATTATCGTGAAGATATGTCAATTCTAAACACCAATTTTGTATTTTTTCCGAAGATTTGAAGCCAGACTTCATACTTTCTACCATTATTATCGTCATCTAATTAATATTAACCTCTTCAGTCACGTTTTATTCATTACCTACTCCTTTCCTCTATCACCGAAGTAAAATCTTTTTAGATATCATTTTAGAAATAATCACGCTTAGAAAGTGTGGCGTAAGTATTCCTTTTATTTACAAGCGGGGTAAGACTACTGTTGGTAAGTTGCCTTATGTATTTGTTTTGTATCAATAAGATATACCGAGTATAGTCCGACCACTGAAAAGTTTTAAAGTCACATCTCTTTTATCATATTTTTATGAAGTTAATCATTGTGTCTTGTTCTTATTGCAAATTTTATAAGAAAAGCGTCTTAAAATTGTGGACAGACTATATTCATCTATTATTTCTTGATTCAAACGCTAAATGGAGAATGTTTGATATGTTATAATTTATTTCTTTGAGATCTATTGAAAAATGAACCTTGAAACTGCCCTTAAAATTATGTTTTGTCGTTTGAATCAATGAAAGCCAGTGTGCATGCTGATATATGAAAATGATTTAACTGATGCCAGTATCTTATAATAACGTAATCACTTAATTATGTGGAAGTATATTTGCATGGTTGAATTACACGAATAGTGATGTCTAAAAGTTATCGACTTAAGTCTTGAACAATTTTAGTGTAAAACGAACTAATCGAATCAATGAGTCGCACACCATATTACGAGAACAAGACATTCATAGAAGTTGACAGTTTTGAAGTCATAATAATAAATAATTGCCTTAGTGGAAACTTTTTTACATTATTTATGATGAAATTGGTTTTATAATTTAAAACTAGTACCTCGATGTGTCGATAGCTGCAAGAATAGACTTCACTAACTAAATTGAAACGAAAATATGCATGTAAAATGGACGAAGGGATGGTTAGGGTGGGGTTTAAGCCGGCAAATCTGATGTTTTACGCTTCTTATGTATCACTAGTACGTATATCGATATGTATTACGTATATTATGTATGACTTTATCCGTCGACATACAAACTTGGGGGGACTAACATACACTGCATGGGATGTGATGTGAGGGTGAACCCAGGTGGTAATCTTTTGTAAAATTTTAATTTATTTTAGGCATTAAATCGCCTTTTATATTTACTCTTGATGGAACGTAACAGGCATCTAAAGCTAATTGGAGAGTTGGTGATTTCAAGAGCTGCTTTCTAAACGGTTGCCAACATTTTCAGGTGCTATATACTGCCTTATTGTGCAAGTTGTAGGCTTATTAGGTAGTTCCTGGGTCCACCTGCCAACCGCCGGCCGTCGGTTGTCCACTGTTTGTCCGCACCCGGTCGGTAACGACCTGTTTCTGGCTGTGTGGATTGTTACACCCCTTTATTTAACTCGATACTGGTTGTTCTTTCGGACGTTACTCCAATGTTTTTCGTTTTAAAGTACTGATGGTGGATATTTTGCAGCTAGATGTTATATTCCTTTTAAAAATACAGCATCTGGAAGGAGATACACAACCCGTTGTCCAGGTGAGCGATGGAACGAATTATTCCACTGTGAAAAAAGTGGATTTTTTTGACACGACATGACACGATGTAATGCGCGCAATACTTCAAGTCACGTTTATCAAACTCGACACTGGACACTGTTATATCCAACGACTATTTGATAGTTTTGCATCGGATCGCGTCGCGTTGCCGCGTTCTTTGTTCACCTACGACAACGGGTAAACTGATTTGTTTCTAGAACGCAAACAACAAGGGTCATATCCTGCTGCAATCCGCCATCAATGCTTGTAACCGTTGCCTTATCCCCTGTGTCCCGGCTATAACAGCACATATTATAATGTATCACAGAGGCGGCGGGCGGGTGTGGCGCGCGCGCGTCGGTGGAACGCATGCTGTCCTTCGGGCGCGAGCTGTACGCCATGAGCCAGAAGCTGCAGCAGGACCGCCACCACAAGTCCATGCTCGAGGTAACACTCATGCTATTGATAGCTAATATATGCATCTACCATGTTACAACTAAATGAGGGCTATCGTTTTTATACTTAACAGTTGGCACCCCTGGTGATTGACAGGACCTTACTCTACAGTGGCGCCATCTTGATGAGTGCAAATGCGATAGTCCTCCTACCTCTTTAGCGCTCACCAGTTGGTGCCACTGTCTTCGCTATTAGCAAGTGACAGAACCTTACTCTACAGTGGCGCAAACTGGTGAGCACTAAAACGATAGCCCTCATTGACAGCAGCCACGGCAGCTGAAAGATAAGGGTAATACATAATAAAATGCTAATGTCTTTTCTGATTTAACCATTTAATGACCTATCAGAAACGTCTGGTAGTACTCGCATGCCTGTGGTGACTAAACTATTTTAATAATTTGATCGTCATAATGACACAAATACTTGTCTAACTCTTCAATGAGGGCTACTGTATTTACCAGGTTCGCCAGTAGCGAGTGATAGGACCGTACTCTATAGTAGCGCTACCCTGGTAAATGTAAATGTGATAGACTTCATGCTGATTGAGCATTTTCCAGTTAACGTCACTGGAGGGAAGTCGAACCTTAATTTCGAACTCCTCCTATGTTCTTCTGATTAATTTCGTTGCGGGTCCAATGACAGTTTAACTTTCCCCCGGGACAAACTTGACCTTCATTGGTTGGGTTTTTGTGGCGGTCAAGCTGTAGATCCTGGCTACACAGGAGTTGCAGTGGTGGGAACGAGAGGTGGGAATAGTCCCGTAACGTCACTGTACTAGCCACTAGAGGAGCGGTCCTTACTTTACAACAGCGTCAACGGATGAGTGCTAGCTAATACGCTGACCCCTTATTTAATAAGCACAAGATACTAATCCAAATATAATTTCTGTAATAATATTTTTTCTCGTTCCAGAACGCGTTTAGTTTACTAGCCTACAGCAATCCCTGGGACAGCCCCGTGGGCTGGCAGCTGGAGCCCGTGCGCCGCGAGTACGTTTCCGAGGCGCTCAACTCCGCGATACTCGGTGAGTCGCCACACCAATATGAATAACGGCACACGCGCAAGGGTGATTTGTTTCTATAGTCTGGTCCGTGAGCACGTAGAATTTTGTCCAATGACCCCAAGCTACCCATCCCTATCGCTCGCGCGTAATTATGTTGCTGTCGCGACTGTGCGACGGGCGCCCGCAGTGAGTGTGCGAACGCGACAGCAACATAATTACGTGCGAGCGACAAGGATGGCCAGCTTGGGGTCATTGCACGGGATTCTACGTGCTCACGGACCAGGCTTTATTACGGATAAAATATTATCGCAGCGACAAAAAAGTCACCCGTGTGCGCACACTTTAACAGTTGTATAGTTTTTGCGTAAATGGCGGCGGTTCTTTTGTCGTTTCAGCGCTCACCAGTTGGCGCCATTGTTTTAGCAATTGACAGTGATAAAGTTGCGCCAACTGGTGTGCGCTAATAAGGTACTGAATTGTATAGTAAATGACGTGCCAGCGCCGTCCAAGTGCATACCGATTTTAAGACCTCTTTTCTCCCACACCTAGTGTCTTCAATGTCACCGTAATGTCGTCTTGCCAGCGCCTGCGCAGGGACCACGCGGTGCGCCAATTCCCTTTGAATTAAATAACGCGACGCGCGTAAACGCTGCGCGGGATTTGGCAAGACGTTGACGCTCGAAAGATACTAGCGAATGTCTAAGATGTTGCAAGGTTGTGTATTTATCGAGTGAATGTTTCTAACAAGGTGTCTCCAACTCTTCAGAGGCGGCGGGCATGCAGTGGCGCTCGCCGGTCGAGGAGTGCGTGGCCCACTCGCGCGCGCTGCTGCAACGCATGGCGGCGGCCGGGCTGGGCGCCTGNATATTGAAATATCTAAAATATGAAATGTAAAATCGTAAAATATGAAATATCAAAATGTAAAATATGAAATCTATGAAATCCCGCATGAAGGCTGTTCACTAATTTGAGCTTCGCTCGCAGCCCTCAGCAACCCAATACCCTCATCCGAATAGAATTTAGGGAATCTCTGAAAGAAACGATCACATGAAATAACCACGTACTGGAATACGAAAAATATCAATCACGAAAAATAAATAAATTCTCCGAAGGGAACTTACCTCATGTGTGTTATTTTTATTTATTCATCAAGAAATTATCGTGGATGCATTTTGCACCACCCGATTTGAAATAAAAGGAATTACATTCCCGAAAATAATCAAATTGCGGTTGCGCATAGGGTTGCCAGGCGTCCGGCTTTAGCCGGACATGTTTGGCTTTTTAGGGTCTTGTCCGGCCAAATATTGCCTTGTCCGGCTTTTGTTAGGCTTTTTATTTGGTTGCCACGCCAAGCGAAAGTCAGGAGGAGTCAGGAGCCACAGAATAATATGAAGCGCATGCATCAGGATGTTGGTTAGCAACCGATGATGATAGTACTCACTCATGAGATGACACTAATTGCACCCCCCCCCCCCCGTCACATGTCCGGCTTTTGGGCTAAAATGTCCGGCCAAATGAAACACAAAGTCCGGCTTTTGTGATTTTGGACCTGGCAACCCTAGTTGCGCACGATCGACAAATTCCTAAGTCATTTGACAGCTCCACTGACAGCCGCTCTGTCATAGACATCGCNAACCATGCAATGAGAAGTTACATTGACACCCATTATCGTGAAGATATGTCAATTCTAAACACCAATTTTGTATTTTTTCCGAAGATTTGAAGCCAGACTCCATACTTTTCACCATTATTATTGTCATCTAATTAACATTAACCTCTTCAGTCACGTTTTATTCATTCCTACTTCTTTCTTCTATCACCGAAGTAAAATCTTTTTAGATGTCATTAGAAATGATCACGCTTAGAAAGTGTGGCGTAAGTATTATTTTTATTTACAAGCGGGGTAAGACTACTGTTGGTAAGTCGCCTTATGTATTTGTTTTGTATCAATAAGATATATCGAGTATAGTCCGACCACTGAGTTTTGAAGTCACATCTCTTTTACCATATTTTTATTAAAGTTAAACATTGTGACTTGTTCTCATTGCAAATTTTATAAGCAAAGCATCTAAAAATTGTGGACAGACTATATTCATCTATTATTTCTTGATTCAAACGCTAAATGGATAATGCTTGATATGTTATAATTTATTTCTTTGAGATCTATTGAAAAATGGACCTTGAAAATGCGCTTTATAACGTTTTGTCGTTTGAATCAATGAAAGCCAGTGTGCATGCTGATAAATGAAAATGATTTAACTGATGCCAGTATCTTATAATAACGTAATCACTTAATTATGTGGAAGTATATTTGCATGGTTGAATTACACGAATAGTGATGTCTAAAAGTTATCGACTTAAGTCTTGAACAATTTTAGTGTAAAATGAACTAATCGAATCAAAGAGTCACACACCATATTACGAGAACAAGACATTCATAGAAGTTGACAGTTTCGAAGTCATAATTTAATTTCTTTATTGGAAACTTTTTTATTTACAAATTATTTGTGATTACTTTTGAAATTGGCTTTATCTAGTAACCTCGATATGTCGATAGCTGCAAGAATAGACTTCACTAACTAAATTGAAACGAAAAATGCATGTAAAATGGACGAAGGGATGGTTAGGGTGGGGTTTAAGCCGGCATATCTGATGTTTTACGCTTCTTATGTATCACTAGTACGTATATCGATATGTATTACGTATATGTATGACTTTATCCGTCGACATACAAACTTGGGGGACTAACATACACTGCATGGGATGTGATGTGAGGGTGAACCCAGGTGGTAATCTTTTGTAAAGTTTTAATTTATTTTAGGCATTAAATCGCCTTACTACTCTTGATGGAACATAACAGGCATCTAAAGCCAATTGGAAAATTGGTGATTTCAAGAGCTGCTTTCTAAAAGGTTGCCAACATTTTCAGGTGTTAATATACTGCCTTATTTTGCAAGTTGTAGGCTTATTAGGTAGTTCCTGGGTCCACCTGCCGACCGCCGCCGGCCGTCGGTTGTCCACTGTTTGTCCGCACCCGGTCGGTAACGACCTGTTTCTGGCTGTGTGGATTGTTACACCCCTTTATTTAACTCGATACTGGTTATTCTTTCGGACGTTACTCCAATGTTTGTTTTAAGAGTGCTGATGGTGGAAATTTTGCAGCTTTACTTAGATGTTATTTTGCTTTTAAAAAATACAGCATCTGGAAGGAGATACATAACCCGTTGTCCTAGGTGATCGATGGAACGAAATATTCCACTTTGTTCGTTCGTTCGTTTCAGCCGAAAGACGTCCACTGCTGGACAAGGCCTCCCCCAAGGATTTCACTTTGTTCACCTATGTGATATCATCTGGGTGAAGAAAATTGATTTTTTGACACAACATGACGCGATGTAATGCGAGCAATACTTCTTTCTTCTTCGTTCTTGTCAAACGCGAGTACATAGGACACTGTTATATCCAACGACTATTTGATAGTTTTGCATCGGATCGCGTTGCCGTGTTCGTCGTTCATCTAAGACAACGGGTAAACTGATTTGTTTCTAGAACGCAAACAACAAGGGTCATATCCTGCTGCAATCCGCCATCAATGCTTGTAACCGTTGCTTTATGCCCTGTGTCCCCGGCTATAACAGCACATATGTACCGCAGAGGCGGCGGGCGGGTGCGGCGCGCGCGCGTCGGTGGAGCGAATGCTGTCCTTCGGGCGCGAGCTGTACGCCATGAGCCAGAAGCTGCAGCAGGACCGCCACCACAAGTCCATGCTCGAGGTAACACTCATGCTACTAAATCCTGGTCTGTGAGCACGTAAAATTTTGTCCAATGACCCCAAGCTACCCATCCTTAACGCTCGCGCGTAATTATATTGCTGTCGCGACTGTGCGACAGGCGCCCGCAGTGAGTGTGCAAGCGCGACATCAACATATTACGCGCGAGCGATAAGGATGGGTAGCTTGGGGTCATTGGACAATATTCTGCGTGCTCACGGACCAGGCTTTACCTATTCTATCTATAGTTCGTTTCGTCCACGAAGACGCGCGGGGTGCGGGAAGCATGATCCGACCAATCCGAGCGAAATCATTGTAGTTTGCGCGCGCATTGACGGACAACTATTCAATTGTAACGCTGCCAATGCCAACAATGACGCTCGCATTGGTCGGATCAATCTCCCCGCAACCCCCGCTTCTCTCGACCCCGTCTTCGTGAATGAAACGAACTATACCCATATTGCAGCTGAAAACCAATAGCAGTGTTATAAGCGAGTTACAGTATCGGACTGTAGACCCGCCATCCTAGTGAGTGCGAGAGCCCTACTATACAGGGTGGAAACGATAAGTTTTGGTGTACATATTTACTTCGATAAGTGATCTCACTCGATTATTTCTAAACTATACAAGATATCAATAAACTAGTTACTGATCCTGAAAGTGCTTCATGAGCTCTATCAAACGGTATTAATAATAGGTTACAGAAAAAACTGGATCTATCCGAAAATTCAATGTTTCCAGCTTCCATACATTTGGTAAAGTCACATTATTTTAAAAACTACACATGATATCGTAAAACTGATTACTGATTCTAAAAGTGCTTCACAAGCTCTATCCAATGGTATCAATAATAGGTTACAGAATAAACTGGATCTATCCAAAAATTCAATGTTTCTTTCTTCCATACATTTAGTACTACCACAGTCATGACACTCATCTCTTGACAATATTATTGCAAGTAAAGCCTAAAACCAATGTTTTCCATGAATAATTTTAAATAAGAATACAATTTACGAGTTAATTTTAAGTTTATTATTAAATAAAAAAAAATACACTTCTAATATTGTGTGGCTGGCATACATTTAGTATGGAAGCTGAAAACATTGAATTTTAAGATAGATCCAGTTTATTCTGTACCCTATTATTGGTACCGTTTGAAAGAGCTCATGAAGCACTTTCAGGATCAGTTACCAGTTTTTCAATATCTTGTATAGTTTAGAAATAATTGAGTGAGATCACTTAACGTTTCCACCCTGTATAATAGTCAAACGATTTTTTGAAAAATCATGTGGCAAAAATCCGAACTAATGTGCTTTTATTAATGCTGGGTATTAATAGAAGCACCCTCCTATAAATGTCATAATAATTGTATGTTGTCCAACGTGGCTAAAATCGGAACTATAACCCAGTATTGAAAGTAGAACCCTCCTGTCAATCCCATAGCTTGAACTGTTTAGTTTTAGACAACTATTCCGATTAAACACTCATCAGTTGTCGCCACTTTCTTAGCCACAAGCGAGAGATGGTCCTTATCTACAGTGGTATGAACGACTGAGCGCCAATACAATGGCATTTTGATCTAAATATAATTGTCTTAATAATATTTTGTTTCGTTCCAGAACGCGTTTAGTTTACTAGCCTACAGCAATCCCTGGGACAGCCCCGTGGGCTGGCAGCTGGAGCCCGTGCGCCGCGAGTACGTTTCCGAGGCGCTCAACTCCGCGATACTCGGTGAGTCGCCACACCAATATGAATAACGGCACACGCGCACGGGTGATTTGTTTCTGTAGTCTGGTCCGTGAGCACGTAGAATTTTGTCCAATGACCCCAAGCTACCCATCCTTATCGCTAGCGCGTAATTATGTTGCTATCGCGCTCGCACACTCATGGCGGGCGCCCGTCGCACAGTCGCGACACTTCGCGGTCTTTGGACAAAATTCTACGTGCTCACGGACCGGGCTTTATAGGTGTAAAAGAAACATATATACTATCACGGATAAAATACTCTCGCAGCGACAAAAAAGACACCCTTGTGCGCACGCTTTAACAGTTGTATAGCTTTTGCGTAAATGGCGCCACTATCGGGTGCTAAAACGCCGTTCTTTTATCGTTTCAGCGCTCACCAGTTGGCGCCACTGTTTTAGCCATTGATAGTGATAATGTTGCGCCAACTGGTGTGCGCTAATAAGGTACTGCACTGTATAGTAAATGACGTGCCAGCGTCGTCCAAGTGCATACCGATTTTAAGACCTCTTCCTCCCACACTTAGTGTCTTCAACGTTACCGTAATGTCGTCTTGCCAGTGCAGGGACCACGCGGTGCGCCAATTCCCTTTAAATTAAATAACGCGACGCGCGTAAACGCTGCGCGGGATTTGGCAAGACGTTGTGCAAGAAAAGATTTTTTTTCCTGGCGGCTTGGTGACTGGGATTGAACCGCCACCGGTGCAGACGGAGAAGATGGTGGATTGTCTGCACGTGAAAAAGAGGTTGTCCGGCTTGNGCCGCTGACCGCCCCGGTGCGTGCCCACACTACACTAGCAGGGCTGCTGCAGCGCACGGCGGCGGCCGGGCTGGGCGCCTGCCCGCAGCCGACCTGCCCGCGCTGCTGCGCCGCTGACCGCCCCGGTGCGTGCCCACACTACACTAAAGCCTGGTCTGTGAGCACGTAGAATTTTGTCCAATGACCCCAAGCTATCCATCCTTATCGCTCGCGCGTAATTATATTGCTGTCGCGACTGTGCGACGGATGCCCGCAGTGAGTGTGTGAGCGCGACAGCAACATAATTACGCGCGAGCGATAAAGATGGGTAGCTCGGGGTCATTGGACAAAATTCTACGTGCTCGAAGACCAGACTATAGCTGGAGCGCGGCCACGAGCACGCGCTGAGAACAAATGGCGGAACGTATGATAATTGGACATTCATCCGCAGCTCCTCCTCAGGCTAGAGGCTCGTTCATGAGCGAGCCTCTCCAGCTGCGAGAGGACCTCCAATCCTCCAGTTGTTTTTATAAGGATTTTCTCCTCATGGCCATATTAGAACAGGATTCCCGTCTCGCCGAAGCGGGTTACTGTCTACTCCATGCAGTCAGCTCTGCTGATCAGAGGTACCGAGGAGATTGAAGTTCAAGTTCAGCAGCCCTATTTTAAAGCACAAACGCTTTACATCTTACTAACGTTATGCCACTGCCTTCCAGGTGTCCCGCCACGCGGCGCCTCCGCCGCAGCCGGCGCCGCCGCGCGCGGGAGGCCTGCAGCCCCTGAGCGGCCCCCCGCGCGCCCGGCAGGCCCCAGCGGCCCCCCGCGCGCCCGTCAGGCCCCAGCGGCCCCCCGCGCGCCCGGCAGGCCCCAGCGGCCCCCCGCGCGCCCGGCAGGCCCTTTCCGCCCGCCGCGCCGGAACCGAGGCCTGACGCCTCCCTCACACCCACGCCGGAACACGAGGCACCTTCCCAAACAAACTCTCGAAACCAGAACGTCGTCGACGTACAACCGTTACGATAACTCGGAACCTATATCCTTGATATACCACGCTGGAGCGTTTAAATCGAAAGCCTCGCCGAATATTAAATTCCTGTTCAGGAAGAAAGATAGAGTTCCAGAGATATGTGTTCAATGTAGATCTGTCGATACCGAATCATTTGAGACATGGAGGTCGTCTATAGAGCCAATAATTATTACCGTATTCGATAGTAAATGACCAAAACATTACGATGAAACCATATAAAATGAGAAGTTTTAATGTTAAAAAGCTCTAGATGTATGACCTAAATTACAAAATGTAATCATCGTAGCTTTGAGAAAATGAACGTATAAAAGGACGTCAATACAAATGTTCATAAAAATAGTGATGTGGAACCTGTCGATAACGAATAGTGTAAATGTGTAAATATCGATGGAGTTAACGTAACGCACACCCGATGCCTTAGCGACCCGCCGCTTGCCGCTTCGGCTTTGCGCTCGCATCTTTACCGGCTTGTTTTCTCTTTGATAATTACTAAAATTATAATCGCCCGTAGTGTTTTGGTATCCGCCATATTGGATCTACTAAGTCATATCTTATTAGCTCAACATTTTATTTAGATTAATTTTAATGAAGTATAAAATATAAATAAATCCCCATTGATTCTATTTCTTCGCAATTTTTTTCTTCAAATTTTAAGTCTATTCGTGTCTAAATATCTGTAATCTTGTACTGATATCGATAAGTGAGAATGGACGAAGTGAAAACAAGCCAATTATAAATTATTTCGCGTTTCTATGTAGCCTCGAGCGTGTATTGGATGTTTGTGCCGCGCGTGAGACCCCGTCTCAGAACTGATATTAGTGCTGACAACGACAACGGACGTTGAGACAATGTGTTTAAAGTTTAAATTCGAATGTAGCGTAATGTGTGATGATCACGAAGCGTTGTGTATATTGTCTGCGTATATTATAGAGTATATAGATATATAAATAAATATATTAACGAGCGAGGGGCGCTGTCCGTGTTTGCGTTGTATAATTGGTTGTAGGTTGTGTGTGGATTAATTATTATATACTCTTAATTATCAATTGTATATTTTTATGCAAAGTTTTGTACGAATTACTTTATGCGCGATTGACGTTCTCGTACCAGTGCTATTGAGGAGCTCTACATTGATTTTTTTGATCTCGGTAACGCGTCTACGAGCGTCCACAGTTCGTCTTCGCCCGATAGTAAGGATCATTTTATAGCATTTTTAAATCATACAATCTGTTAACTCTCAAGATATTCATTCAGTTCTCGATGGCACTGAGTATGCTCAATGATCGTCAGTTAAATTGTAATCTAATTGAACATTGCCACAAGCCTAAGGCCGCGACCGGACTGCGGCCTCGCCGTGCGGCCCGGGTGTAGATATGATACAGTGCGTGTTGCCACTGCATTTGCTTGCCCATGTTGTAGTAGCGATTTTGAACATGCGACAGCGATAAGTGATTTTATCTTTAGACACTTATGGGGAGCAGTTTGCGGACATTTTATTCCCGTGTTTTTTTCTTATTTATACAGATCAGAGCGCCACCTATCATTTGTAAACGTGTGTTTTCCTTTGGCCGGTTTAATCGGAATTGTAATGTAGTCAAACCTATTTTATGTATCGTAATTATTATATTACTTTTAATGTTAATAATATTGCATAACTTGCATCGCCAGTCGCATGTTCTAAAATCTCATAGAAGCTTATTTACTCTGGAACCATTGCTGTATAGCACTAGGGAGCTTTTCATATTTGAGCTTAGGTATAAGTGCAACGACAATCAGACGTTTGTTATTAGATGTATGACTATATGTGTGTACATATATTTTATATCATCACGCGATATATTAGAGTCTGAGTAATATGATATGTGGCAATAATATTGTATAAAGAATGATTTTAATTATATTTCAGAGTGTAATTGCTCATTATTGTGATACTGGCAATACAAATGCAGTGGCAGCATTGTAGCGGAGAGGAGCGACACTCGTATGTAGAAACTTGTAGTTATTCGACTGATGGTTTCTACAAGATGGCTGACAAGGTTTCTACAGACGAATTGTTAGCGGCCCGAGCACACGGCAGGTATCACTAGAACTCAACTGTTTGATACTCGGTTTGGGTTTCTTGCAACTGTGATACGAATGATTTGGTAAAACGTATCTAATTTATAGAAACCAGTAATGATATACCTAAAGATATCTTATCTTCATCTGGCACATCTGTAAAACTTATAGGATAGGTATTATCATATCATTCGTTCATGATACTGCCGTGTGAGAAGCCGTCGTGAGCGTGTGTGCGCTATTCGCGTCGCCTCGAATGCGTAGCTCGCTTCAAACTCGATTCGAAACTCGATCAAGCGAATATTGATCAAGTTCGGGCCGAGTTTGGGTGCTACGGTACCGCTGTACTTCTGTAAAGATGATTCTACAATATTGTTCTTATATTGTATTGTTTTCTTTTTTAATAATATATTGTGTTTAAACAGTCGTGACGTGTTTTTTTTAATAGCCCACAAACATTCAATGCATATTTTTTCTCTAAAGCATGGAGGGATTCCGATTCATAGGTCAAAGTTCTGAGAAGGGGTCTGGTTTTGACATACATATTATTTTCATTTTGGCAAAATGTCTGTAGAATAGAAAAGAAAGGAGTAAAGTCGGTGTGCTCACTTCGACCCTCCAGGGCACGTTGTTCTGTGGAAGTTCTTAAAAGACAAGTTATACTTCTTTGAAGTTGGGAGAAGTCAAGCGTGCTTCCTTGACGTACCTAGTTCCGAAGTTCCGAGCTGTCCCGTGCAAGCGGCGAGCAAAGAATGCCCGAGGCTGGTTGCACGGACTAAAAGTACGTTTCTGCACAATTTCGTACGCAGTTGCTCGTAAAGTGGCTCTTACTGCACCTCCTTTCTGATTTTTAATGTGGTTAAGACTCTTAAGACAATATCTTTTTTAGGTGAACAAGCATGCCACGTGGCGAGTAGATATAATAAAATTCATCTTATTACTTTTGTATCATTAAGTATGTCTAATATGTCTATTCAATTGATTCAATATTTATTATTTTACCTATTACTACAATATTTAATATTAATTTATGTTGCCTATATTGGCGGAAACGGAAATTCAGAGGTAGACCCTTCCATACCCACATAATATCTATAAAATTAACAATCCGTGCTTATTTATTGCAATCCACACGATAGAAGCCTCAATATTTTACTCCCAAAATACAAGGTCGCACGCGTCCTCAAAAATAAAAAAG